CGTTCAACATAGTCACCAAATTTTGAACTATTTAGCGAGAAAACATCATCTGTATAGCGGAAAGTAAAGTTAAAGGATACTGCTGAATTCTTTTCTTTCTTCATAAGAAGTTTCTGTATGAAGTCAACCTCATATGAATAAAGGAACAAGTCGGCAAGAAGAGAATCACAGTTGGTTCACATGGGAATGCCGATTGTTTGTTGAAAATGTTAATGATTATCCTGTTGTTACCTGGATTGTAAGGGTTTGTATTACCTGATTCACTCTTACATTGTATGGTTTAGATGAATAAAAAGAGAGGTTATCATTCTCATTTACCAGTATAGTATACCCTTTGTCCGATCGTATGGTGTTTATATGTCGAAATTGGCACGTTACTTCAGTTAATGTTTCTATTATACTGACTCTATCAACAGAGGTGCTGAAAATGCAAAACTGTTCCTAGAGGGCTATTAGGGAGAACAGATGAAATCGAAACTACACAAAATTTACGAATCACGAATTGCAAGACTGATACGATGTGTCTATCTTATTATTCCTGTTATTATTTTGTGTGTATTTAAAAATAAGGATTTTTTCAAAAAGACTAAGAAAGATGTTACAACTTTGTGGGTAAGGTTCATACAGTTCCTTTAGATTGCAGATCTTCTTGTTCTTCTTCGTGAAATTATTTATTTTTTTGTGTCTTTTCATCTCGTTAAAAATCTATTTGGTTTTTAATAACATGATAGTTGAAATGTTTATTATATTATCTTATCATCAAAGTTTGACATGTCTAAATTCAATTATCAGCTTAACTTTTTATTCAGTCTTCATTTGCATGTTTATGCTGCCTATTTAAATCATCTTAGGGAGAGCTTAAGAAATTATATGCATTTATTTCTTTATCGAGGTTACATTACTCATTAGGACTGCATATAAAATACAAAATCTCTAAGAACAGCACTACAAGGGTCAAAGATGGATATAATGAATAAAACCAGCTTAAACGGTAGCGGAGTAGAGACATTGCCACATCAGATGAATAATACGTTAGTACAGTTTAATGAAACAGTCGCATTCCCAAAACTAAAGCCACCATTTAGCTATTTATCGGTAGTTGGGACTCTGAGTATATTCGGGATTATTGGTAACAGTTTAACCCTCATAGTTTTATGGAAGAGGAAACAATGGACCTCTGTCAATGTTCTCATTGGACTGATGTCTCTTTCAGACTTGTGTGCTTTGTTAGTGTTATCAAGTATATTCTTACAGGTCAGTATCTTTAATCGTTTTTATGACCAAACAGTATATTTTCAAGACGCCTTCATTTCTAGTAGTAATTTGTGCGCAGTGATCATCGGATCAGAACGGGCTTTTGCTGTAAGAAGACCATTGAAGTTTCGAGATATTTGGAGTCTTAAACTCACTCTTAAACTTTATACTAGTGGATATTTAATATCTATTGGATTTATTCTAATGCGGTGTCTCATATCGGAACTGATAAGCTACAGTTTCTTTCAAAACCACGTTTATCTTATATATTTTATGACACTGCGAGGATTTCCATTTATCATTATACTTGTCACAAACTGTCTCATGATACATGGTGTTGTCGAAAATAGCCGTCGACTGTTAAAGATGATAGATCATAATATAGACAAAAACAGAATCAGAAAAGAGACTGTTATAACCAAAACAGTCATAGCACTAACAACTATCTATTTCGTTTGCATGATACCCCATCGTATAGCTGTTGGTCTCAAACATGCCGGAATAATCTTTGAGGATCGTGAGATTGTATATTATGTTCAAAACACTGTGGAGATTTTCAACTTTTCGATCAACATCGTTATTTACACCACAAGTAGTAAATTATTCAGAACAGAATATAAGAACTTGATATGTTCCGCTTTAAATTCATGTCGACGATCCGCAGTGCCTATATCAGAGGATATCTGAAAGAATCTAAATAGATGAATTAATGTTCTGCTTGCAATATTCAGGACAAAAACATGATAATTTGATACAACTATGAACCCTTTGCTTGCACTTGCCCGCATGCTTACCGGCCAGATTTTGAATGTACCAGGTAACAAAGAACAAGAGGCTGTCAGAGCGACAGCAAACCGGATTTTTTAACATTTATTTATGTCCTGGCATTTTTCAATATCAAAAGGACCATAACTCCTGAACGGTCAAAGTGACAATCATCAATATTGAACTTGACCTCCATTTTTTCATCAGTAACAACATATTAAAATTTGAAAAGCTTTGGTTGAACGGTTCATGAGTTAATGTACGCACACTGTTTGGCAGCCGTCCGCCCGCCCGGATGCCCGCCCGCCGTACATCCCCAAATCAATAACCGATTTTTCCTTGGAAATCCGGTTAAAAATGATACTAGTGGGAAAATTTTAAACCATAAGTTGCAGAAAAAAACACTATTCCTTAACTAAAACAAAAGAGACAAACAACCATACAACAGTCTGCAAAAAGCTTCACAAAGGAATATAGTATATCATTCCTCGCTCATATTTCGTATTTTGTATCATGTAATATACCTGTATTGTATTTCATTTACACTTTCATGTTTATATATTGTGGAACTCAAGAAGATTTTGTAAAATTCTAGTTATTGGTGTATAACCAATTTTATTTGCTAATGAAAAGCGGAATAAAATCATTTAAGACAGCAGGGAAGATTAATTATGTAATTTTATTTATAGGTTAGAGAATACTTGGTCATGTTTTATGAATATTTAAAGCCCGAGGCGTAGCCAAGGGTTTTTAATGTTCATAAAACATGACCAAGTATTGTCTGACCTATTTAGAACATATTTACACCTTCGAGACATAACAAAATTAGCCTTTCATTGTAATAATCAAACTTTGATATTAGCTCACTTTAAGTGTTAACATGGTAAGTTAATGGGATGTAAATCATTTCAACAAATGAAATTAAAGCGCAATGAGATAGTTTTGTGATAACAAAAAAAAGGATAAATTATTCAAAAATGGAAATTTCTTCTGCTTCAGGTACAATTAAATCTCATATATCTAAAATTCCCTTATTTTAAAAACTCACAATGTTTTTTAAATCAACTTTTCTAAAATTGTATAATTTTAAATAATGAAAAAACTTCATAAATAAATTTTATGAATTTAGAATCGTTTCAACATTAGATGCATTGATTTAATGTCTCGTATAAAAATAAGTTTAAATATTACATGTATTTTACCTACACCTTTGCCCCCTTTTCAATTTATTTTTTTTTGGGGGGGGGGGGGGGGTCTAAGTATGTACTAATAACATTTTACAATGTTGAAATCTCAATTCAAAATTATTTTATAGTTATATTCTCCTGATTTCATTTATAACAATTAGACAAACAAACAGTACTCGTGATTTTTTTTCTTTTTGCTCATTTCCCTAGGAAGTTGCCTTGAGGGATTGTACACTTCGTTAGTGCAGTTTTTAAGAGTTCACTTTCATAATTAATTTACAATGAAAAGTCATTCATGTATAGCATTTTATAGTGCATGGAAAGCCATGTACTATGAAAATAGAAGGGAAAATACAAGCAGTGCGTGGGTGGCATCCTTCTCGTTGATCAATTGAGCTTGCGGGGTCAGCACGAGTTCACATTTATGTTCCACGTTTGTGCTTCCTTTTATCATTAGAGCTTGTCTTGATAACTTGTGATTCTAATACATTGCGTGAAATTTAAATTCCCACCCACAAACCTCCCTTTATTTTATCTTTAAAAGTAGATGTGTAAAATTTAATTTCTTTTTTTAGTGGGGCAGATTTTTCTCCCCACCTTTGCTTTTCTTTGTCATTTATTCAATTGATATGATTTTAGTTGATGTAATTTCGTAGTAATTATGTATTATAACTGCATATTAATTATAAACTTTTATGTCAAATGTTTTATTTGCAAATTGTATTTTTTTGCATTTATGATTTTGAATAAATGACCTTTTTTCGTCAATCTTGTTTTTATATCATATAGCAAAACAAGCTCAGACTCTGGCGTTAGTATGTTTATGGTATCTGTATGTCAGTCTTAAATGAAATTATCATCATTATGTGTATATATCTTATAAGCTGTATTTGCTTTTAGAATAAATGTTATTATTAAGTCCTGAGTTTTTCTCTTAAAACATTTCTACGTTCTTCACAAATGATATGAGCCCTTACCCCTTACCTCCCCCCCCCCCCCCAAAAAAAAAAAACAAAACAAAAAAACAAACATAAACAAAACAAATTCAAGATAAAAAAATGGCTATTAAATCTTCTCTGTTTTGTTTTTTCAAAGATTATGAAAAATAACTAAACCCCAGTAAAGGAATAAATAAGCATTTTAATAGCTTATTTTCATTCTTCAACTGTAAGTTTTGATTGAAATTTCATTTCAACATTAATTTTGCGCAAATTGAAAAGTTCGAAATAGACAAAGCTCTCAATCTTTATATCTTGTTCGATTATATTTGATTTTGGCTTAATCACATGTGAAATTTTTGAGTAGCCTAAATTGACTTGTAATGTGATACATGTAAATTGTTTCATAATTTTATTGTTGTGACATTTTCTTTTGCAATAAGTTTGCAGAGAAAATATATACTGTCTGTTGTCTCTTTTTAATTGTCATAGAAGTATACACACCTGTTAAAACGTTTAAACCCGCTGCATTTTTATGAACCTGTCCTAAGTCAGGAGCTTGTTGTTCAGCGGTTGTCGTGTAGTTCATAAGTGTTTCTCGTTTCTCCTTTTTTATATAGATTAGACCATTGGTTTTCCTGTTTGAATTGTTTTACACTAGTCTTTTTGGGGCCCTTTATAGCTTACTGTTCGGTGTGAGCCAAGGCTCCGTGTTGAAGGCAGTACTTTGACCTATAATTGTTTACTTTTTACACATTGTGACTTGGATGGATAATTGTCTCATTGGCACTCATACCACAACATCTTATTTATATATAATACATGTACCAAATACAAATCACAAACAACAACAATATGTAGATTGAATTTTTTTATGAAAAACTTTTGTATTGAAATGATGCAACAACACCATTAGGACATAACTCGTTTCTTTCTAGAAAGGGCACCAGTTTAAAATGGATTCTTGTTACCAAAGACAGGTCCACATTACTACTTTTCTGTTCATATAGGAAGAACTGGTACCGATGGTGTTGCTTTACAGGAGGATTAGGACCGTTGTATTCTTAGACAAATAAAAAATAGAAATAAAGCAATGCATTAAAAGTTGTGGTCATTTAAGAGAAGTTCATTTGTGAGTTGAAATAATGTGTTTTTTTTGTTCAAGTTACCCTTTGTTTTTTATAGTAACATATGTTTGATGTGTTGTGTACTTTTGACGTTGATCTTTTTTTTTTAAGGAAACACGAATCGTCTGCCTTACTAAACGTAAAACGCACTTAATATACAGAGTAGTAGAAATGAGGTTAAAACCAATAAAATTGCAATGCAATGTATATTAAAGCAATGCAAAAAGGACAGACATCAATCAAACTTAAAAAAACCATTGACTTTCAGAAACAGAGAGTGAAATAAGGACTATATTTGTAACTTGAAGCAATGTCCGTGATGTGCAGATGAGTAAATAGCTTGCTTTAGGTAATACAGCTAATTATCGTGTAATGTTATTTTCCTCTGAGTGATACGGGTTGAAATCTTGTTACTGGTATACCTTAAGATTGTATCGGTAGTGTACTTACTCATTTGTTCCGTCCCGTCGATCTTTCCAGCCTGAAGTGATAAACCCTGGAAGCATATAATGGAACACATAATAAAACTACTGAAATGAACAAGAACCTTATCAAGCTAAAAATGAAAGAAATTCGTTTCTATTTGTGTTGAAATTAACAGTATTTATTATTTCTGTAAAGCAAGTTGGCTGGTGCGTTCAAAATAAAACAAGGTTCCTAAAAATGGTTAGACAATTGCTATAAGGAACATACGTATTAAGCTAGATATATAGATTCCTATAAAATGAGCGTTTTGTTGTTGGTATAAGCTGTTTTTAATTTGGCTGGAAACAATGGTTGTCTTGAATCTACACATGTTTTATATAGATGTTCATCTGTCAGTATTTCTTCAGATATGAAAAGTCGTACCATAAATGTGTATGATGAATTAAGTTTAAGGTGTATTCAATTAAATCTTGAAAAAAGTTAAGGTAACTAGGCAAACTTTTAAATGCTTGTTATGATATTGAAGTCAGAAAAGTTTAAAATGATAAAAAAAACAAGATGGCCGACATTACCGACTAACATGCCATGTTTTCTGCAAATAATTTTTTTACAGAATCAATAGGATGGATTGTTGGTAGTGTTGGATTGATGGACATAGGGGTAGAAATAAGAAATCCGAGTCTACAAACCATACTTTTTGACATAAGTTTTTTGTACAGTTCCCGTGCTGAGAGAGTGAAACGCGCTAAATGTCTTCATTCCTTTGTTTAATGATTTTCTTAAATTCACGCGATATTTATTTACGTATTTATGGAAACAGGATGTAAAACATGCATTCACATGACACTGAACCCAATTTACAGCACCAGAAAATCAAAACCTAACAGAACCGTTGATGAGTTGATATAACCGAAAAGGACAAAAACAATTTTAAAATATACCAAAGACTCAGTTACTCATGCTTGACATTTTTCTTAATTATCCTTACTGTTATTTTACTCCCAATGATTTCTTTATCAATATTTTGTTTTTTCCAACTCTCGGGTAATTCATGCATACTCAGGATAAGAACAAATTAACAATAAATCTTATCCATCTATTATAGTTAAATGGAAAAGAACTTGTATATAATAAGTCATAATTTCTCCCATAGAGATTAATACTTATATGTCTGCCATAAATAGTTTATGTTTTGGAAGTTGACAATAAAAAAAAAAATGTCTAATTTAATTGACACATCAGAAGCCGTCAATATCTTTTTTCAAAATATATTTCTTGTTTTAATAATCAAGGTATTAAATCACTCAACAGAATACATGAATTATCTGCAATGAACTTTAAAAGCAATAATCCTGATGATCTGATCAGTAATCATCCTTCATTAGGCAGAAACAACATCTATTGCTTCAACAGTACAGGATGATCTGATCAGTAATGATCCTTCATTAGGCAAAGACAATTAACGTCTATTACTTCAACAATACAGGATGACCAGGTTCTAAAGGAGCTTATCAAAATGTGTAGGTTTGGTTTTAATGAATTTTCAACTGCCAGAAATGTTTTAAACTTGTTAAGTTCAAAAGAAATTATCTTAATACAAAATTGATTGTTAGCTGTTTATGTTGCATTGATAACATAAAATTTTGCATAACCAGTTATGCATTAGTATGGTGCATTTCTTTACGATTAATGGAGTTTGATAATAAAATTTGGTACCTGAATTTGATGAATCTTTTCAAAAATACGTTCAATATTGCCGGAGAAATAGCTCAGGTGATTCAGTTTAATCAATACGGTGCAAAAGTTCACTTTTGACATCTATGTGACTCATTGACATAATAGATCAATAATAGTCATTTTACACACAATGTCTTAGTAAATTTAGTATCAAATGAATCTACAATTAAAAAAAAAATAATTCCTCTCGTATCATCATGTTTACAGAAGACCGTTTGTTCCAAAAATCAATTTGGAGAAATCTTTTGCTTATGCAAACATGTCTATTTTCTCCCTGTGTTCCTTTACTTAAAGCTGTCCGAAGGATTAGAATAAAATTCATATGAATTAAAAGTAGAATTATAATATATAAAAAATAATGATGGCAAAGGAGAAGAAACAAAATTAGCTGTCTTTGAACATGTTAAACGAGCTAAGGCAAAGTTATGCTGTGCTTTTATTCTCAGCTTGCTAAGTGTAAGTTTTTCCTTGGTCTGAGATAAAAAAAAAAGTATATAAAAAGATGTTGAAAATCAAGAAATATGAATTTTTAAGAATTTATCCATTTAAACTTTGATAAATATTTAGTTCAAACCAAAAAAATAGTTCCTTCCTGGTGTGTAGTTTTAAAGATAAAATCTTTGAACAAGAATAATTTTGATGGTAAAAAATGGCGGCAAACTATGGCATGTATGTGTGCGTTTCAAGTCTTCCTTACTGACTGGTAGGTTATCTCTTTGATGATGCAAAACAAATAATGAGTGTATATGCAGAGTACAACACACTAACGCAACAACTTAAAAGCAACAAGACTAGTGTGAAACAAACAAGGAAAGATAAACACGAATAGAAAAAAGACTTAATATCTTACAGATTTTTAATTGGGATGAAAACGTTAAAACATAAAAGTTTAAAGTCGATAATGGGTTTTAGGTAAGAAGTTTTGAACCACTTGCAGAAAATAACAGTTACTCCAATTCATTTGTCTGTTCGTGGTGGCGATGGTAATTTTACAGGTTATGGTAAATGAAATGAATTCAAATTTTTTTTTATGGATAAAATCTCTTTAGATATAAATAATACCTAAATGTCATGTAAGGATTTTGCGAATGAGAAAATACACACGACATCTCGTATGCCTTTTTTGTCATGGCTTGAAAAACAACTGGAATGGTGATGTCCTTGACAACGCCGTAAGGAAAACTTAATAGTGGAATAGTGTGTTACCGTTATATTTGTGACCAGCCAATGAAGGACATCATGTGCTGATTCAGCATCCGGGTCTCTCATGATAAGGATATACAAATGATCCTGAATAATAAAGAAGGCCATTCTAAGGAACCAAATTCTCAGTTTAAGTTCTCTGTAGTGATTAATTGTATTTTACAACATTGTTAAGAGTAGGATTTTCTACCCGAGGAATAAATTCAGTTAGCTCTGCCTACTCGTACTTTATTTGGCATTTTTTTTTTTATTCGAGCATCACTGATGAGTCTTTTAGTGACGAAACGTGTGTCAGGCGAACAAAATTCTAATCCTGGTATCTATGATGAGTTAATTATGATACAATGAGTTATGTCTACATTGTTAACTGTAATTTACATAAGAAAATGCCTGTACCCAGTCAGGAATATGACAGTTGTTATCCATTCGTTTGATGTGTTTAAACTTTTGATTTTGCCATTTGATTTTGGACTTTCCTTTTTGAATTTTCCTCAGAGTTCAGTATTTTTGTGATTTTAACTTTAATTTTTTATACTATAAATATTTTAAAATTTAATCCTGTTTACACAAAATATGTTGTGTCATGTATATACATATGGATCTTTTGAGTCTGAAATTAAGATTATCTTATCTTACCATATCTGAAGGAAATGGAAAATATAGCAAGTAGAGATTTAATAGCTGTTTATATGTATTTTTGTAAGTGTTTCGATAACTATCCCGAATTTAACACAAAAAGTAGTTAAATTTGCAAACTTTGAAATGTCCAAGTTTACCGACCAATGTGATATTTTATGATTTAACAATCAAGAGCATTCAACGGGATACAATCATAGTAGAATATATTTCTCGAACAAAAAACACCCACTGAAACATTCCTATTAATAAGCATAAGAATTTTTCAGAGGAATACGCAAATTAAGTTTATTATCCTGTGGTTTGATTAAATGAACCCTACGGGTTGACTGGGGTATACAAATGTAGTCACACAGAATTACAGAATGTTCCTAGTATATGCATGAAATATTTCTCACTGAACGTTAAGCAAGTAGCTATCAATCAATCAATAAATGTATAATCCAAGAATTGGTTTTGTTTAACTACTAATTTGGGTTTTTTTCCGCATACTGTTTCTTGTAAATTTTATTATTTATTCTAGTCCATACAGTTTAGATTTCCTATCTGTCAACGATGTTTGAATTTGAAATAACATTTTGTGCAGCTTTCAATATGTAAAAATCAAAACTTACTTTTTCCATGTTCGGTGCCTAACTCTGTAAAACATCCTTCCAAAACATATGTAGGATGAGTATCTTTAACGTACCTTCTTCACATTCAGAAATTTGACCTGCGGCGGGTCTGCAACCTTCCATTTCGGTATTTCTCTATTTCTTTCTGTGTTACCCTCTTTCTTGTTACAGGTACCATATACGTTGTCGGGTCTCATCTCCAAACTTGTTTCCCTACATAGCGGTTCGGGTTCCGGTAAAACATTAGTACAAAACCCCAAAATATTATGTACAAGTGAAATTGAAATACAATAAAATAGCACATACATTATACTGTTTATTTCAGTAGACTAGTACTTTCTTTGCACCTGTGACATCAATATTTTACATGTTAATCGATCTTGCAACGCACAACTTAAAATATACAAAGAAATATTATTTATTGTAAAATGTTTAAACTATTTCATTAAAGTCATATGTGTGTGTGTGTGTCTAGAGAAAAGTTAGTTTAACGTACCGACCTTACCGAAGGACAGGACAGAACAAAAAATATGAAACAGACCAAGACACATACAAAAAAGATAACACAGACAGAAATCTCTCCAAGTAAAGGACAGCAGCACGAACATGTGTGTTGACAGAATCTATCCAGCAAAGGATAGGAGCACGTACGTATGTGTGTGTTGACAAAATCTCTCGAAGGAAAGGATAGCAACACGTACATGTGTGTTGAAAGAATCTCTCTAAAGAAAAGATGGTTGATACAGTGTTCTCAGATTTTCAGTAAAACAATTCTACCGGTTATATTTTTCAGAACATTTTTTTTTTTGACTAGTTTTAGTAGGAAAATATAGATTGGGGATTACTACTCACTTAATAAAGAACTGAAAAGCTGCCAATGGTTCGCATTTAGTATTAAATATATAAAAGATAAAGGAAAATTCACTAGTTCAGGAAAAAAGGAGAAGATACCACGGGGAAAGATGCATTTTTCCCGAAGTCTTTATTATGAGTTGGAAACCTTAAAAGACAAATGTCAGTTTTGTAGTGGAGACACACATTGGATTTGTTGAAAATAGTATTAAAGAAAAGCTAAATTATAATCACACATAATGGCAAAATAGAAAGCATTTGAATTAAAACCTGTCATACTAAGCAATCATACGGCAGAGGGATACAAGAGGGTTTAGATGGGGTTTACAGAATAGAGGTTAATGGACAAACTGAAAATAAATAAAAAATGAAAAATATTGAGGTGTCAAAATGTAAAGAGTAGTGAATAATAGGCAAAATCATAAAGAATGTGATAGAGAAAAATTATCTTATTTTTTAACTACAGATATAATGGCCATCCAGACCCTCGTAAAACAAAGGACAAAAACGGAAACAAGTGTCAAACGAGTTCAGCATCATTCAATCATCTCAGATAAGTATTAAAATGTGGCGGGAAATACCAAAGGGAGAATCAAAACTGAAAGTCTAATAGAGAGATAAAAAAAAAAACGAAAAACGACGAAGACCAACAACAGTCCACAAAAATATAAAAAAACTGAGCAACACAGGTAACGAATAAGGAATAAGTAACGAATAGGTAACGAATAAGGAATATTGAATAAGGAATAAGTAACGAATAGGTAACGAATAAGGAATATTGAATAAGGAATAAGTAACGAATAGGTAACGAATAAGGAATAAGTAATAAGTAACGAATAGGTAACGAATAAGGAATATTGAATAAGGAATAAGTAACGAATAGGTAACGAATAAGGAATAAGTAACGAATAGGTAACGAATAAGGAATAAGTAACGAATAAGGAATAAGGAATAAGTAACGAATAAGGAATAAGGAATAAGTAACGAATAGGTAACGAATAAGGAATAAGTAACGAATATGGAATAAGGAATAAGTAACCATCTTGACGACCCTACAACACATTAGTATCGTTATGCTAGCTTATTAAGTGTTGCATGAATGATCAAGAAACTAACAAATTCATGACAATTATTATAAATATAAAAGATGAAAAAAGATATTTTTCAATTTAAACATTAATCTTTAGTTATAAATGCTAGGGAGAATTTCGGTTAGGTATTTCTCGTTCACCAAAATAAGCTAACACTTACCCTTAATATAACCATCTGTAACATAGTGTCACATTTGGAAGAGGAAAATAAACGAGAATGTAATTGGGAGATATTTCGGATTTTGATGCAATTGTGTATGCATTTGGGGTATAAATTTCCATTCGGTCAAATACATTGTTGAAAACCATAACAGCGTTTAAAGTAAAATACATTGTCTAAACCATATAATCGGTATATTAAACTTGTTGTGAAGTTTGCGACTTCGAGTCCGAGTTCGTAATATTTTAAATAAAGTTAAGTGTTGTTCGATATCTGTGTCTATACCAAGACTTTTCGAAATAAGGAATAACTTAGTCCCCTTCTTCTTAAATTGAAAAAAAGGTGAGGGTTTCCTCATCACATTCATTAATATGCATGGGCTAATTAATTAGCTAATTGTGAACTGCGACCGATCGATGCCACTGCTGGTGGACTGTTAATCCCCGAGGGTACCATTAGTTCAGTAGGGATCGAGTACTCTGGTTCTGACATGATTTGTAACAAACTTCTCCTAAATTCTTCGTTGATAAATTAAGAATTCATTAGGAAATTAAAATTTAAACTCCCATCGGCAAAGTTAACCTTAAATTAGTTTTGCGATTTTTTAGTTTCTTTTTAGGTCTCTTCACGTATCAAGGTCCTTTGCTTTCAAATTTTGGGATTTGATCGTTTCTGATAAAGATGCATCAATAAAAGCTCTTCGGATGTACGGAAATTTATAAAGGTTTATTTTTATTTACGAGCACTAGGTCGATACCACTGTTGGTGGTCTGTAAGCCTTTGGGGGTATAATCAGCTCAGTAGTGCTCCGGTTCTGACATAATTTTAACACACATTTAAATAACTCTCCGTTGACAAATTAAGAACTTAATTGGAAACTAAGGTTTCAACTCTCTCAGACAAGGTAGACCTTAGATTAATTTGGCTATTCTTTAGTTCCTTTTTGATCATACAGCTACTAACGAATAAGCGTTTAAGCGTTCCTGATGAATTAAGATTAATCCATAAAAGCGCTTCGGATGCACGCACATTTATAAAGAGTTGTGTTCCTTTTTTAAAAACACTGGGTCAATACCATTGCTGGTGGCCTGTTAGTTCCCGAGGGTATCGTGAGCTTACTAGTAAATGCTCCGATTCTGACATAATTATAACAAATTTCTCTTAAGTTATCCGTTGATAAATTAAGTACTTATGAGGAAACTAAGATTACAACTCCCTCACACAAAGTTGACCTTAAATTAGTTTGGCTACTATTGTTTTACCGATTATCTTAGAGATATATGGTGATAGTGTTTAACCGATTAACTTAGAGATACATGATGATAGTGTTTATCGATTATCTTAGATATACATGGTGATAGTGTTTACCGATTATCTTAAATAAAAATGGTGATAAGTGTTTTACTGAGTATCTTAGAGAAACATGATAATAGTTAATTTTTACTGATTATCTTAGAGATACATGGTGATAGTGTTTACCGATTATCTTAGATATACATGGTGATAAGTGTTTTACTGACTATCTTAGAGAAACATGATTATAGTATTTAACTGATTATCTCAAAGATACATGTGATGATAGTGTTTACTGATTATCATAGAGATACATGATGATTGTATTTAACTGATTATCTTAGAGATACATTGTGAGGTGTTAAACTGATTATCTTAGATATACATGGGTATAAGTGTTATACTGGTTATCTTAGAGATACATGATAATAATGTTTACTGATTATCTTAGAGATACATGGTGATAGTGTTTTACCGATTTTCTTAGAGTTCCATGGTGATAGTATTTAACTGATTATCTCAGAGATACATGGTGATAGTGTTTACTTATTATCTTAAAGATACTTCGTGATAGTATTTACAGATAATCTTCGAGATAAATGGTGAGTGTTTTACCGATTTTCTTATAGATACATGGTGAGTGTTTTACCGATTATCTTAGAGATTCATTGTGATAGTATTTAACTGATTATCCTAGCGTTCCATGGTGATAGTATTTTACTGATTATCTTAAGAGATACATGGTGATAGTGTTTACCGATTATCTTAGAGATACATGGTGAAAGTGTTTTATTGATTATCTTAGGGATAAATGATCATGTGTTTTACTGATTATCTTAGAGGTACATGTGATAGTGTTTTACCGGTTATCTTAGATGATGAATTATGCAATTTTTTTTAATCAACTACGTTTTCAATAAATTAGACTTTGGTTATATCTTTCTTTTTTTAATAAAAAAAACATTTGAAATTATAAATTCCCCCCACCATAGCAACAATATACCAACTTCACCTGCATATGGGGTAAACATTTCCCAACTCATTTGGTATGCAAGAGCTTGCCGCTGCTACTCAGACAGACTTTATATAAAACGTCACCAGTGTCTGCGCAGAAAGAAAGTTGATGAACCAGGGTTATGTCAAAGAACGTCTCGTCCTTTTTCTAGAAAAGTTCATCGGAAGATACCAAGACCTTGTTGATAAATATTCCGTATCAACTTCACAAATAATACATGATGGTCTTGAAGTATAGATTCTAGGTACTGACGTTGTTAATCATCTTAATTACGTGTTATAGTGTTCTTTTTATTTATCATCGTATATTTTTAACCTTTACTGTTTAGTCCTTTTTTGGTATACACTTTTGGTGTGGCTTGGTATTTATACATCCCGCCATTAATTGTGCTATGGTCATTTTTGTATTCTTGTCTATCATTTTTGCTTACGTACTTTGTCTATATGTCATTTTGTTTTTCTTTGTTGAAATAGTTATGTTTTTTATAGTGATTAATATTATAACACAATGTTGACCGCTGTGGCCCAATTTTTGACATTTTTACCTATTATGTCTGTTTGTTTTGCTCACACATTATTGTCAATTTGATGGAATTCTATATGACTGTCATACAATTGAGAGGTTTAGCTAGTTGTAAAACCAGGATTAATCCACCATTTTCTACATAAGGAAATGCCTTACCAAGTCAGGAATATGACAGTTGATTTCCATTCGTTTGATGTGTTTGAGCTTTTGGTTTTACCATTTGATAATTGACTTTCCGTTTTGAATTTTTGTTGGAGTTCGGTATTTTTGTTATTTTACTTTTTTTTAGCAACACATAACATACAAATCTATTTGAGTGTGGATTATTCAGTACAAAGATTAATACAATTACACAAAAAAATTATAAATTGTCTAACAATGTTATTTTAACACACTATTTAGTATATAAATGTTAAAATGTTAAAAATATTTACAGTGCAATAAAAAAATAAACGCAATATTTGGCTAGACAAACTAGCTTCATCAATCATGTATCTATCCAGGTGAAATCGAATGCAGATAAGACACTTTTGCAGCTCACTGTACAGTGAATTTTTGCTGCTTAATAAATAAATTCAAAATTTAAATGAAGTTTATTTATTGTTGAAGTAAGATAAGTTTGCAACGTCCATTGGCCAATATTACAGAGATATTAAGGACAATGCTACATAATAAATTATTCTTTATCTTTCCTGTATCTTTTCTCGTATATATATATATTAAACAGATCACTGCATAACGATCATAAAACCAGTTGTTGGCATGATCTGGGTTATGTTCTTCTCGTATAATTTACGATGGCATGATACTTAAACTCTAATCATGCTAATGGGAGAGATTGTTGTTGATTTTCATATGATGAAGATCTAATCTTTCAATCAGTTTTGTTGAAGTCTGGAGCTGGCATGACAGTTACTGCTAGTAGTCCTTTGTTAATTCGTGCTGATCAGTGTAATTTCTTCTTTTACCTATTCTAACATTGGACTCAGACTTATCTTTTAAACTGAGATTTACTGTGCTTATTGCTGTGTTTTTTGCTAGATGTATAGGGGAGGGTTGACATCTCACAAGACATGTTAACCCTGCCACATTTTTGTACCTGTCCCAAATCAGGAACCTCTAGCCTTTGTTAGTCTTGTGAGTTTTTCTAATTTTGATTCATTTGTCTCTTTCAAGGTCTATCAGTCACTTTTGATCTGTTTGCTTGGAGTGGAGGTTATCATTAATTGGCCCTTAAATATTTTGGACAGGTCAACAATGACTTAATACAGGTACTTTTTAAGTTCTTGTCTGAATCCATGTATTAAAGGAAAAAGAGTATTGTATAGGCCAATGGAAAAAATTGATTTATCTTGATTTCTTATCAATTAAATATACATAAAAGCTAAAACATTTCAAGTTAAAAAAAATGGTAGGTATTTTGATCTTGATATAGCAAGTATTTCCTTTGACTTTACACTAAAGAACCACAAGCAAGCTGTCAAATAATCATCCTTGGACTTGAAATATCCTATTGTTAAAAGTGTCTTATGTCTAGATTATATTTTCAAGCTTTCTCCCTTCTGCAATGCTCTATAAATCAGTACATCTGTAACCAACTATACAGTATCTTATTCAAACCATCAATCATTCTAGTCTTTCAAAGGTTTTGTTAAACTAATAAATATTAGTTTTTTATACTAAGCTCTTGCGTCCAATTATATATCTTAGTTGACTTTCAAATCCAAATATGCATCTTTGTACTTGTCTAACAGTAATAGTTTGTATATGGACACTGTTGTACTTGTCTAACAGTAATAGTTTGTATATGGACACTGTTGTACTTGTCTAACAGTAATAGTTTGTATATGGACACTGTTGTGATTGTCTAACAGTAAGAGTTTGTGTATGGACACTGTTGTACTTGTCTAACAGTAATAGTTTGTATATGGACACTGTTGTAATTGTCTAACGGTAATAGTTTGTATATGGACACTGTTGTAATTGCTGTCAATCTTTATGACAATAAAAGTTTTAAAATATTCAATCTGTAATTTTTGCTATGCAAAATACCTTTGCCAAATGTTGTCTCACAAAACTAATGACTTAACTAAATAGCTTTAGGAAATAACAATTTTATTTTTTAAAAAGCAAAACAATAATTACAGGCACAATAAGGTGTTCTTGCGTGCATTTACATAAATAGCATCTGGTTTCACCTACATACTGAATACTGCATCCCGGTTTGTCTCATGTAAATAAATAGATAATACTGTTAGTTTTTCAATTTATATCAGTTTCAAAATTTAAGGAAAACCTGTATTTTAAAGGTGGACCTTACCTTATTGTTGGTAGAAAGTAAATTTGTTTGTAAAAGTTTTTGTGTGTGACAAGTAATTACCTATAAATTCGAATTCAAAATAACTAACAGTTTTAACCATGAGAAATCCCCTTTTCATACGCACACATAACATTGCATGTAAGAAATTGGTTGCTCACATTCAATGTCAATCATGTGTATCACTGTAAACAAATGCACAATGGTATAAGCTTTTGAATGTACGCTCATATTCATCAGTCCTGACACAGATTTAGCAATATAAAACAGGTAAATAGCAGTTACTAATGAAATGTAGAATTAACAACATGTGTAAAAACAAAAGATGTCATTCGTATGCCACAAGTTGGTGAAATTTCGTAATGCAAATGTAAATTTTGCCAGGGAAAACGTTACATTCACACAACGATATCAACATTACGTATGATTTAACGTTCACAACAGACACTATCAAGATGGTAAATAATGGAGTTGCTTCAGTTCATAATTAAATACAAGCAATTAAATATAAATTCAAAGAAAGCTTATATCAAGAGGCCCCTTCAGGAGGCAATATGTTCATTGATGGTATGAGAAATGATTTAAGTTCTCTGTTTAGCAATGTCACATCTTGATCTTGTTTTTCATACAGTTTTACTGCCTGTGTAAATCGGATGATACCTGAAAAAAAAAACATTTAACATGTTTAAGTCATTAATATTCTTTTATCGGTGCTATAAATAGGTCATGAATGGGGGTTTTCATTTATAATATTAATGTATTTTTTAATTTTTCAGGCCTTTTTTCTCTGTTGTTAATTTATTATTCATTTTTCTCTATTCTCTATATTTTTGTGATTTGATTCGGGTGTAAAAGCATTGACTGTAGCACATTTTGTATGAAGCACTTCATACTAATAGGTTGGCACAGTCAACACTTTATCAACCCTATAAAATTACAAAAGAAGCATTCAATTCTTAAAATTACCTTTTTTATGCTACAACCTTGAAATATGGTCACATGTTATAACATTTGTTTTTTTGTCTATGCATTGTTGTGACTTTGTATCAGCAAGCACATACAGTTATGAATGTTGAATTTGATATGGAATGCCTCTTGATTGTTGTCAGTTGTCAGCTAATAAAAAGATTCTTATGAAACATACATGCAATGATTTTTTTTTGAAAAACAAATAACTTAATATGATATATACCTTGTCATGAACCATTTTTGTAGCTATTCATTTTATTATAATGTATGCGATATGCTTATTATTGTAAATTTACCTCATACATGTTTATAAGCATTGCTTTACAATAAATTTTTGTGTGAAGGGGAATGGAACAGGGGCTGTGTTTTCAAATTCTATCCTATATATGGCTCTTGACACATTTCTTAACCTCCCCAAGAAACAATGGTTACATTTCATATGATTATGCAAATGTAGATACCACCTAGCATTTATTACTAGACTTGTACCCTGTCCTTTATTTGTTTGGCTATAAAACTAAACAACTAGGGGACTCAGATACCTGTATGTGGCAAGAAAGAGAACCAGTTTACATTTATTACACATTTCCTTATTTAGTCTTACCGTCTCCATCTCCAGGAAAACCATATTTTTCAATCACTTCCATTTGTATTTGCGTTGCCAATGGAAACACAATCTGCATCATTCTCAGCATATCATTTCCTGCATTATCTTTGGCTTCATTCAATCGGTGTGCATTATCTGGTTGTCGGAATGCATTTAGAACATCCTGAAGAGCTTCTGTTGAGACAAAAAATAGATTATTTGTGTCTGAAGTAGATTATCTAATTTTTTGTTTTATCTTGTATCTTTTATCTCGTAATCACATCATGGTTGATGATAGATTTTGGATATTCATGAAAGTATATACATGATATATAAAGCTTCCTGATACTTTTTGGATTGTTTTTCAATTTACTGAATGTTCACATTTATGCTACAAACTGGGTCTAACAAGATGAATTTGGACTGCAAAAAAAAAAAAGCTGTGTTGGATAGGCATGATAGAGTGTATTTTTTTTTTTTTAATATTAACTTTCAAATTGATAAAATCAACTGCTGCATTACAAACAATAAAATTCTTATAATATGTTAACCAATATGTCTGTACATACTAAAGCCAGACACAAAACCATAAATATAAAGGTTACAGATTCAAAATTTACAGTAGATTTTGTAATGACTAATTAATGTCATAATTGTCCAAAGTAAATAATTTTTCTGTAATATATTTCCTCAAACATGTCAAATTTTAATGAATTAATCATGTTGATATGTACAATGTCATATAATATTTCTGCTCTTTGGTCAGGTTGTTTTTTCTTTGACACATTCCCTGTTTCCATTCTCTTTTCTAAAGTAAACCGGTAACTTATCAAAAATTGTATTTTAAGCATGCCGAAAATGGGCCTAACATACATCATGTACACCATTGAGTTTCTATCAATAAAAGATTTTAAAAAAGGTGAAAAAAAAAATAACATATATAGTATATACATGTAACTATCTATAATTTTTTTTAAAAAAGGTAAAAAAAATAAACATGGATGCAATTTAGGTACTCCTCATTACAGAATCTTGTGTCGTTTGGAGGTCTGTTCAACCCCATCTTTCTATGATTCAAAATGGATTCAATATTAAAGGAGAAGGTCCGATAACATTAACAATGGATAAGGGCTAATTTCGGCCTAATATTGGAAGTACATCTGATTAAAGATTTTTGACATTTTTTAAACACTAAAGTGTCTACTTTAGTCGATTCAATTAGTTTATGTTAAAGATATTAACTGATTTGGTCATAAAAGGGGCTCAAATTCACGCTTAAATATGAAAATCTATCAAATATGCCATAAAACGTCTCTTTTCGGGTGGTTTTTGTCTAAAATGGAAGTGGCCACATTCATGTTCAGTCTCAACATTTATATATGTTATTTCATTATCATTAAATACAACATATATCATGTATATTTAAATATTAAGATTGAACACAAATGCAGCCAGTTCTTAAAATTAGCACAAATGCTAAAATGGTGAAGATTTCAGTATTTTTGCATGAAAAAATGATGCTAGTACCTGATGCATGTCCACTGTTTTGTCAAAAACAGCCCATATCCATGTAACAAAAGTATTCTACTTTCCAATAAATAGATAAAAGTGACATTTTTAACTACTTTGTAAAAACACTACATTTTGGGGCCAAAAAGGGGTCTTACCGGGCCTACTAGTACTCCTTTGTGGAAGGATGTAGTAATTAAGGATACATCTACAAAATAAACACAGAATGGAAACTTTTGTCTGGATCTTAAATAAAAGTCAATGAAAAAACTGTCAAAATAGGTGCAATTTCGGTACCCTCACGTTATATTTCCATGACTGTTGTTGGTATTACAACTGTTTCTTTTCTTTTTTTCATATTGTTTGTTGACCACAGCAACTCTTCAAGGAGAACCGGTCTTAAGGGCATACGATACAGTTTTGATCCAACAGTGAATTTTTGACGAAAGTGTGCATACAAGTTATTTTTCACCTAGTCAATTCAAATATGTAATAAAAAATATACCTTCATGTGCACATGCTACTTTTAGGGATAAATGGGGTCGAAATTTTATACCTCTACTGGAAATTTCGGTTTCTTGGACATTTCTTTCCTTTGGAAAGACATACTTAACTTTTTTGTTTCAAAAGATAAACGCAAGCGAATTTCCGTAAAAGCATCTAGATCTTCTCTACATAAGTTTGCTTTGAATTTGAGTAACAATTCTTGGGAAATTATTCATTTTTATCACAATTTCATGATTTTAGTCAAAGAACAGCATTTTTTGCTGTATATTTATTTAATTTTAAAAAAATCATCGGTGATTTGTTCATAAAAATTGGCACAAATAATCTTCATACACAAAAAGCCAAATGTCATTTTTAAAAAGATTGGTCCATGAACTCGTTTTCAAGTTAATTAAGTTTGAATGAAAAAAATCAGTCGAAAATGCATCTTTTCACGATATGTCACAGTTTGAAGTCGTGAAAAATAACATTTTACATTAGCAACGTCATTACCTCCCCTGTAACTGTAAGGGCATACGATACAGTTTTGATCCCACAGTGATTTTTTTACGAAAATTTGCATACAAGCTATTTTGCACCTAGTCAATTCAAATATATAATAAAAAATATATCTTCATGTGCTACTTAAAGAGATAAATGTGGTCGAATTTTCAGACATTTTACTAAAAATTTCGCTTTTTTGAACATTTCTATCCTTTGGATAGACATTCCTAACTTTTTTGTTTCAAAAGATAAACACAAGTGGATTTTTGTAAAAACATTTGGAAAATCTTCTTTACATAAGTATGCTCTAAATTTGTATAACAATTCTTTGGAATAATTAATTTTTATCAAAGTTTCATGATTTTAGAAAAAAACGGCATTTTTTGCTGTTTATTTATCTAATTTTAAAAAATTTCATTGGTGCCTTTTTCATGAAAATTGGTACAAATAATCTTCATACATAATCAAACCTAATGTCATTTTAAAAAAGAGGGGTCCATGAACTCGTTTTCAAGTGAAATCAGTTTAAATGATAAAAATCAGTTGAAAAATGCCTTTTTTCCGGATATGTCACAGTTTGACGTCGCGAAAATAACATTTTACGTTAGCAACGTCATTACCTCCCCTGTAACTGTATCGTAGACCCTTAACTGACACACGCTGATATCTAAACGTATCCAACTTTCTTTTCTCATCAATTTACCAAATTTCTATACTTTATCTGTTTATGTCTTGAAACTTGATGCTTTATCATGTTTTTGTTTACAGTAGTGTCCGGTAATTCTGCCCGTCCGGTAAACCCGTCCCACTCCCATTTCTTCCGTAATTGTCACTTCCGATAATATTTCGTCTGCAAATTTATTCATAGGAATTGTACTTATCATCACTGCATGTCAAATTTTAAAGAAAAATCCTTTATTACGAAAATATCTAGTGATATATATAATACAGTTCCTAAAGCTAATGATAATCATATTATTGCTTACAAAACTTATTTCTGATTTGAAATTTTTTTTTTTTTATTATCTGGAATCTGTTTATAAGTGGTCTATTAATAAATAGATCATCATTTACTTTCATAAATTTGTGATTAATGGGCCCTCCATACATCTTTACTGCGCATGGGCGGATTTACCGGACAAACACATTTCCGATAAAAACACGGATGACCCACATGTTTTGTTGATTTTAAAATTTATTTCAGACATTTTTTGGGAAATGAGATAAACTACTCAACGGGGAGCGTCTTTTTACCACAGAACTTCGAAATATTAACACATCAGACATTATTATCGTGTTATTGTTCATTCTTTTTATAATTTGACATTTATTATTCAAATAAATTTAATTTTTCTATTTAGGGTCGACTCACTATTGCTACGCCCCCAACTGAATGGCCAATAATTGGGATCATACCGAAAACCCCTAGCAATTAAAACCATAATATACAAAGATAATTTATATTTTAAATACATTTTAATCTTTTTTGTAATTTTTAATTCATTTTTGAAAAATGTTTAGATGCATTACGTCATGTACGTAATTATTTATTAAATTTATTTTGTTTATCAGTTTTTTTTTTCCACTTTTTTATTATTTTTTATGTTAAGAGTTGTTACAATAAATAATCAAAATGGTTAATGTGACATTTAATTAAAATTGTTGCCAACAAATAATTAAACTTTATTAAAGTGATTAAAGTAATTTGTTAAGCTGATATCTAAGAGTTGTTTCAAACAATCGTTTAAACTTGGGTATAATGCTTGTACATCAAAGTTTTCTCCCTTAGAGTTATATATAAAACAATCCTGTGTTAAGGGCTACCAAATACTTTCAAAAAGATATCTGAAGTTGTTGTAGGACAGTAATATTTGAGTTGACTTATAACATATTATAAGTGTGTCTTTTTAATTGTGAAAAAGTTCAAGTTTGATGACTGTTTATTGGATTCTTATGTTTTGTGTGTATCTTCTCCAATCATTTGACAATGTTTCAGATTTTTACCAAATTTTATATGCATTTAGAAATCGTTGAACTGAAACTTTATATTGCAAAAACTGGTATATGTAGCATTTACATATAGATTCTATATTTTTGAGTCCAAAATTAATGTTGACCGTAGCAAGTTCACAGACACAATTAAAGTACCAAAATTTAATTAGATTTTAAAAACAATTTTGACACTTGTCGTAATCACCAATCAAGCCAATTAACATGTCATTTAAGGTTTCACACCGGAGACATCAAATACATTTAATTGAATTACCTTATAAAATCAGGTGGCAACTAGAATCCAAACAATGAAGAATTTTGTAAATATTCCATTATCAATGATATATATATTATATTAAATAGAATGTTGATAGCAGTCTTCCTGTTAAAATTATTGTCAAGTAATTTCAAGAATACAATTTTTATAATAAAAAAAATTCAAAGATTAAAATGTGACTGTGAAAACTGTGCGGTAATTTTTTGCTCTAAACTATTTTTTTAAATGTTTATTTTTTATATTTTCATTATTACAATGCATTAGTTTAGTGTCTCAAAGGTCTCCAAATGTAAAAAAAATATGCCAAATAACAAAAAAGTCATGATCATTTTTATCTCATCCAGTCAATCGTCATGTCATTGGTGTAACCGAATTAAAGAAATAATATAATTATGAATTATTAGATTTGCGTTTTATAAAGTAATTTTTATGTTCTGTGGTATATTTCAGTAGTTTTATTGTAATTTGTGTAGTTCTGTGGTATATTTTAGGTGTTCTGTGGTATTCTGTGGTATTCTGTGGTATTCTGTGGTGTTCTGTGGTATTCTGTGGTGTTCTGTGGTAAAAAGACGCTCCGCTACTCAACGTAAATAAGTCAGTGAATCGATTTATGTTAAATTTGATACAATTTGTATATAATTATGCAGAAATACATACGATCAAAGCCTTATGTGGGCGGATAGCTGCGGAACCATAGCTCTTAGGTCCTTATGTTATTTTTTGACTATTTGCGGACAAAGTCAAAAAATAACATAAGGACCTAAGAGCTACGGTTCCGCAGCTAGTGGGCGGACTTCACGGACTGCATCGTATCCCGCAATGGTGGTAAGTCGTGCACTTAAGGCCATTTTTTATTTTATTTTTCTGTAGACTTAGTTTTGTTTTTTTATTACTGTGTATTGTCAAGCTTGGTTACTCATAATTGTTTCTCAGTCACTGAATATACGATGTTGTTCCATACGGGAGCAGCTGACCCGGTTTGTTTACATTCAAATTCTAATGGCTTCAAAACCATGTGACACATTGAATCGTTATATCCAATCAAATTGCTCTACTGTCAATTAGGTGATTTTTTAGTACAAGTCAATTATATTATTTGTTTGTATGATATTGCTTTGAAATAGTTTGCAATAAATTGGGGGATTATTCAATAGGAAAACTCATTATTAGCCATGAAATTTGACATCAATGGAATTTTATATGAATATTTACTTATGGTCAGAATATCGATCTCTTTATATTAAACCAAATTTTTTTTTATGAAAAATATATGTATATTGTTTTTTCTTAACCTACTCTATATTCCTGAACAAAAACATGGCATGATTATCGTTTGTTTCCCAAAGTTTTTCTTTCAATTTGGATGGTTTTTTTTCGCGGGAAAATCGCGGAAGACGTAAGGTGCTTGCCATTTTGAAATTCTTAAAAATACGATTTGCTTGGCCTGTTTGGTCTGCAATTAAGATTGATGACGCTCAATGGAATGTAAACAAAGCAATGGAGGCCGGAAGAGGGGTTTTCTTAAGTTCTGAAATGCTTTTAGGCATTCGGAAGTCAGGTTTGAAATGGCCATTAGAAAATCTGCATTTTTGTACAATACTTAAGAATAATAATGAAAACATATCTTTAGAAATATCATTTTATTTAGAAGTGTAGAAAAAATGTATTCTGTACTAATTTTATACGCTGGTATTAGCGTAGTGACGTCAATGCGGAGTTTTCCCGTATGATAAGTACAATAACAAAATCCGAACGAACCAATGTTATGACCGATTATAGACTACGGTAGGATATATAAACAATTTTTACACATATGGTAATTATTTCTGTAATAGCCAAACTCTAAAACAATTTCCGAAATTTAAGCATTATGCATCTAAAGTGCAGGCCTATTTTACACATTATGTTAACGGCATAAAATGATCCACCTTTGCAGTCTTGTACAGTAAACTGCTGCATATTTACTCTCATGGTACCCTTCGTGACTGTTTGTTGAAGATGCAAGGGAAGAAATACTAAAAAAAAACAGGAACCCAGAGCAAATACAAATTAAACGATAACATTACTTAGATTGATTCGGTCTAACATTTTCGCCCTATATTTTCATCCCAAAGCTTAAATAAAAAAGGCACTGGCTACGGTTACATGGAAATGTAACAATAATATAAAAATTATTGTTACATTGGAGACTAATTGCCAGAATGCAAGGTTGGGTAAGGAACAGATTAATTACGAATGTAACAATAATATTTGGGTCTACGGTTACATTGCGTTATTGTTAAATTAAAGGCTGCAAATGTATGATAGATTTATTAAACTTAAACCTTCTATAGTTATGTTGCTTAATTCTTCGATATGTACTAGATAATATTAACAATAATAATATTATTCAGCGAATAAGTATTGATTGTTTGGTGTTGTTAAAAATCATGACTACTACAGTTTAGTTCAATATCACTACTGATGAATACTTAATAAACTGTTCAATAGAGCATGTACTGTCACGACTGATAAGATCACAAAATATCTGCACTCTGAAAATGAAAACACTTGTTTCCACCAATTTCAATCTGTCGGCAAATGTCAACATTACATGATTGCTTTCACAATTGACTTGTATTTAAACAACCTAGCATGCTTCCAAAAAAAATATTGGACGAAAATGTAAACATCGCAAGAGTAACAAAATATTTTTCACCTGAAGCATCAGGCATTCAGAAAGTTTCTTAAACTTCATAAAGGGAAAATGCAGAATGGAATTGTACGGTATGCAATATAGAGCGTGCACATTGCCGTATCACTGGTTTGTGATGGCTGGTCGGACTAAAACATGCTCCAAAAACAACATACTGGATTTGTAGAAACTGTCATGGTTAATAAAAAATCAAAATATTGTATGCAATATTGTAATATCAAATAAAAGTATTCAAGTTTTATTTTAATACATATTTATTACTATTCCCTTCGTACATTGCAGTGCGTTAATGTAACAATAACGCAATGTAACCGTAGACCCAAATATTATTGTTACATTCGTAATTAATCGGTTCCGGCAATTAGTCTCCAATGTAACAATAATTTTTATAGTATTGTTACATTTCCATGTAACCGTAGCCAGTGCCAATAAAAAAAGGATTACACTTAATTATCTTAAATTTTGTTTTTGGAAATATATATACATGTTGATAATTCTTAATAAAAAAAAACCAGAACATTCAGATATCCTCCTTTCCAAAACACTTACGACAGACTGAATTTCTTTGGAAAGAAGACGTTCAGCTGTAAATTTCCCCCTTGCCAACATCTTCGGCAATACAGTTTATCGACATGCTACAGGTATTCCTATCTTGATCATTGGAAACATGCAGGCAAGGTACCATCTGACTGGAATCACACAAACGTCACACCTGTATTCAAAAATGGGATAAACACAATCCAGGTAACTTCAGGCCTATATCATAACCACAACATGCATAGCTTCAAAATTCAGTACTCGAATATATTTTGTCAGCAGCATGATGCAACATTTAGAAACTAACAACACACTCTATAAACTACAACATGGATTTAGGGCAAAACGATCATGTGAGTCCCACATAATTTCTCCGTAATACAAGAACTACCACAAAAAATGACGAGAACATAGATGAATAGATTCAGAGACATATATGTCTCTGATAGATTTTATAATCATGGATTTTGCAAACGCTTTCGACAAGATACCACACTAAAGATAACTATATAAAATGAAATACTTTAACAAACCAGCACAAATCGTAAACTGGGTTGAATCCTAAGGCTTTCTTTCAAATAGAACTGAAACAGTACTTTTAGAAAATAAGACATCTTCAAAAATACCAGACACATCAGGTGATAGGACCAAAACTATTCCTAATTTACACCAATGGCCTTCCAGAATGCATCAAACATAACTGAATCAGACTCTTTGAAGATGACAGAATAATTTATCGACAAATTGAATCACAAAACGACTGTCTCAAGCTTCAGGAAGATCTTAAAGCTGACATAAAATGAGAACAATTTTTATTAATACTGGCTAATGTCTTTCCACTCAGATAAATGTAACATTGATTGTCGATACTGTTTACTTATAGTTTGGCGTTTCTCCGACTGTTTATGATGTCTTTACACTAAAATCGTTGGATGTGTACCGATTGATACTTTAGTCTGGGAAAACCTGATTTATCTATTTGTTGTAATTGGCATTGAAACTGCTTTCAGTAAGGAATCGGTCATTATTTATCAGCCGAGGGGGGCGGTTCAAAATTTCCACATTAAAAAGTTTTGTTGACACCCCCCCCCCCCCCCCCCCCCCCCCAACCACGACCACCCTTTAGAACATGGTTTCAGAAGTTGGACGTCCATACAAAAATAACCTATCGATTTAATAACAGTTGTGAGAAGGTTGTGACTGCCAGCTACTTAGTTACAGGCATTTACTTGACAAGAAGCTATGATGTTAAACTAAATATTATTTTTGTATACTAGTACATATGCACATTCATGGCTCTACAGTCTGTCGATACGTGTATCTTGGCATTGCACAAGGTCTGACTGTTTATTACGTCTTTACACTAAATCCACTGGATGTTGGATGTGTACTAATTGATATTTTAGTCTTAGATGCATGATTTTTTTGTTTTTAGTTGTTATTGGCTTTGACCTATAATGGTTTACTTCTATAAATTGTAACTTGGATGGAGAGTTGTCTTATTGGCACTCATACCACATCTTCCTATATCTATTTGAACTAGCTGTCAGTAACTGAGAGTACTCTCAGATCTGTACTTAATGTTTATTTGTTGTGCATGGGGAAGTATAAGTACCCGTCCACGTCCACTCTGTGTTTCTGTTAGATGTATTTCTATTTGTATCCATCTGTTGAGTTAAGCCTTTTTCAACTGATTTTTATAGTTTGTTCTTACAATGTATGTTGTACTGTTACACAACTGTCCCAGGTTAGGGGGATGGTTGGCGCCTTCAAACGAGTTTAACCCCGCCACATTCTGTATGTGCCTGTCCCAAGTCAGGAGGGTGTAATTCAGTGGTTGTCGTTTGCTGCTGTGTAACATATTTTTTTTTTTCATTATTTTGTACATAAATTAGGCCGTTAGTTTTCTCGTTTGAATTGTTTTACATTTGTCATTTCGGGGCCTTTTATAGCTGACTGTGCGGTATGGGTTTTGCTTATTGTTGAAGGCTGTACGGTGACCTATAGTTGTTAATTTCTGTGTCATTTGGTCCCTTGTGGAGAGTTGTCTCATTGGCAATCATACCACATCTTCTTATTATATGAAGTACATATGGACATTGACACTATCTGTAACAGAGTACGGCAGAGATTTTCCCTGATTGCATTACTCATTTTCATGATTTTGTACTGATTTTTTATAATACATTCTACACTATAGTTCTATAATCTTATATATGTAGCTTGAACTAATTAATTTGATAAAGATAATTCAATTTGTCTGTCTGGTTTGCAGTCATTAGTAAGTGATATTCTGTAAATGTTATAATTCCTTGATGTTTTATCATGACCTTCCATATTTTTTTGTTTTGAAGCTGATGCAATTTATTTTAGTAAACATTTTTCAGTTTAATCCTGCTTTGGGAAAACCCAGAGTATAACATAGAGTTTTCTTCTTAATTTTTTTTTCTCAAATATGAATATCTGACACATGCATGAAGAAAAATGGACAAAATAAGCGATGATTTAAATGAACAAAAATATATTACAATATAACTTGAACCTTCGTGTACAGAATGAAGTAATACCTATACAGATTGTCCCTGATTTTGAAACTGCTAATCCGTAAAAAGTTAAGCTATTAAAGGCACCATAAGCCAAATTTGTTTATATACATGAGCATGTGCTATTTTAAATGATTTGTAACGTAAACAGAAAAACAGAAAATTCTTTGTTCCAGTTTATTTGATAGCAACTTTTTAATTACTGAACATTTGTGTTGTATTCGTGGTATTTTTATTATATAGGAGAGAAGTGTCTTACCGACGCCAGGCGGCTCCATCTTAGTAAGTTTAGACGTTTTTAAAAGCACAGTGACCATAGCATAGGAGTACTGAAAATTCGACATTTTTTTTAAACGACCCATATATAGTTCAAGATTTCATTAAGTCTTTGGAAATACTTAAAAACATAGAAGTCTATCTGTAAAAAACGAGAAGATATTTTATTTACAATATAGTAATAACACGAGTGGACATTATTTTTGTTGAAAATAAACATTGCCAAAGTAAAAATGGCGGACATGCTTTTGTTTATCTGGAAACCTATTTTGGTTTCTTAAAATATTTTAACATTGCATGCATTAGTTATACTGAAATAATCAGGTTTGGTACACTCATCATTTATTGGTCATGTAAAACCAATTCCATACCCTTTTACGCCAGTGTTCTTCCCATCTTAGTGTCAGTTTGACTGAGCAAACATTTTAGAAACCAACAATTAAAAGTTCGACGTATGTTTTCATGACGAAATAATTTTAAAGTGACGGTTATTTGTTAAGGTATTTGAAGATTTGAACTAACCAGTCATTTCCACATTAATATTTTCCGGTTTCACACAATTACCTGTAAATTTCATGCAATTGAAATGAACCTATGTCCGCCATATTTCCTTGTTTACAGATCCAACTTCTATGGGTGCTCACTATCACGTCCGTGCTATTAACATAAAGGAAGTACCTGTAGCTGTTTGTGTCATTCTTATGTTTTGACGTAATAATAGCAAGTAACCAATATGCCAAGCCCAAACAGACGTTCCCAATCTAGGTCTAGGAGCAGTAGCAAATCTCCAAAGAGAAGTCCAGCAAAGGCAAAAATGACTCCAAAGAAACCAAGAGCAAAGGGTGGAGCCAAGAAGCTATCTACTTTATCCATGAGTGTATAGCTGCCATCCAAGCAATGAAGAACAGAAAAGGGTCCTCAGTCCAAGCAATTAGGAAGTACATCCTGGCTAACAACAAAGGAATCAACACATCTCACCTTGGACCTGCAATGAAATTGGCTTTCGCAAAGGGATTGAAATCTGGTGTTTTAGTCAGACCCAAAACTTCCGCTGGTGCTTCTGGTGCAACTGGTAGCTTCCGAGTTGGAAAAGCACCTGCTTCTCCCAAGAAAAAGGCAAAGAAAGCAAAGTCACCAAAGAAGAAGATTTCCAAGAAATCAAAGAATAAATCAAACAATGCTAAGGCTAATAAGTCACCCCGAAAGAAGAAAGCTGCAGTTAAAAAGTCATCGAAGTCGAAGGCCAAAAAGCCAAAGTCGCCGAAGAAAAAGAAGGCTGCCAAGAAACCAGCAAAGAAGGTTGCAAAGAAACCAGCAAAGAAGGCAAAGTCACCAAAGAAGAAGGCCGCCAAGAAGTCAAAGAAGTAGACCTGATTAAGCAGAAATAACGACACAAACCAAAGGCACTTTTCAGGGCCACTCAAATATTTCAAAAAGAGTCTATTGTTGTACCAGTTACTATAGTAATAATCAAGCGGTGTCCTTATTCCATTAATTGAGATAACAGTTATATACATTTGTTTTTTTTCTGATTTTCCTGCACTTTTTAGAATAAAATAAATCTTTCTTCTAGGTTTACCCCTAGGCCCTAGATATTTTTTTATATTTGTAGCGATAGGTTGCTGTTCCATTAACTACACCACAGATCTCTGTATTCAGTCAACAGCTGATGAAATCCTTGGTGTAAACTAGCCAAAGCAAACTTGTGTTGGTGGCAAAAAGGTCCGGATTCAATTCTTATCAAACTTTAACTATACATTTCCAAATTTCAGACTAATCAAAAATTTATCAAGCTCGGACATTTTTTTCGATGTTCGGACAAAATATTCCAAAGCAAATACAGCTTATTGGAAACATACATATATATAAATAAAAATGATTTTATATGCATCAAAATGACTGGACCACCATAATTTGTCTTATTTTCAATGCAAAATATAATGGTCGACTGACATGCATTTCGTGTCGGGGGGATACACGAACACGTATTACATGGATAAAACGTAAAAACGGAGTTATATTAATTGAATGACGACTTTTATCCATTTTTGCGTTTTTGCCGGAAACAAAAGATTGAGAGAATTTTTGTTTTCTATTTTTCTTTATATCTAAATTTGTTGGCCCTTATATTCTTTGCTTTTTGTTCATCATTCTCTATTCTGTAATCGCTATTTAGACCCTGAAACCAGGCCGTTGGTTTTTTTTCGCGTTTGAATCGTTTCACATACGATACGAAAGCATAATTTAGATTCGGTACAGTTACAAACTATAACTTGAACATAGTAAGATCTATAGAGCTTTCAATCGAATACTACAAACATATACAACAGCATCAAAAAACAATCATGCAAGCAAACTAAAAGAGAGAGGCACGCATAGAAGTAAGCACAGGAAGTTGTAACAATAGTTTCTTAATAATTTCTATAAACGGAAAATTTAAGAAATGAATATAAATCATGTCAGTACCGAAGGACTTACATTAGTTGATATAAAGTCCTGATGCCCCTTTTTTATATCGATCAACAAAATACACAAAAAACCCGACTTTAACGCGAGTGTGTCAAGGTTAATAACTTACGACTTGGGACCCCCTTACAATTTCTATGAACAACTTAGCTGGTTCTTCCGCGAATTGCATCTTGGCGATGATATCCGGAGGTATATTTGGTAGAAAGTCAAATTTCAAAGTGTCCTTCTTGGCCTGGATTCTGAGAAAATGTTGACTGTGAATGAATGGTCTTTGTTGTTCTTTGTGGTCGTTGAAGATTTTCTGTTGGTAGTTCGGCTAGATGATGTATACCTTTCAAAAATAAAATCAGTCTGTTTTTGGGAAAAAAAAACGTTTTGTCGTCGCCTATCTTTCAGTGGTTCAAGTTTAATTTGGTTTAAGATTGAAGTCATACTACCTGATTCATAACGTTCATAACTATAGTGACAAAACAAAATATAAACTAATACGAAAGAATTTTCAAAAGTACAAAAAAATACTTTTTCCAAACTACATTAAATGAGCAAAATTGACATTGATCACACAAACATAAGTGTTTTAACAAAACAGCATGATAATAATTCAATACTCCATTCGATCAATAAGTCTATTTGCCCGACAGTACACACAAAATATCTGTTTGTTACTCGAAATAAATGATTTCGTTCCGTTTACTCATGCTGGCTGTTGAATGCAGCTTATTAAATTACAGACAGTTATTCAATTTATTTTTCCACAACCAACTCCTATATTTGAGATAGTATTAAGTCAAAAGTTTTCACCGTGTAATGCATGGTCTCTGTACCTCGGTTGTAAAAGTTGTTGAAATGAATGATTCGTGTATTTAATTTATCAGTCAGATTATGCTGTTAGTATAATAGTCCCAGGATTATGGAAGAAGATTATTAATTAGTCCCATTTTTCGCATATTCAAGTTAATTTCTGTCCTGACACGATACAGATCAACAATTTATGTTTTTATTGAAAGAGTTCAAAGTGTCGGATTTCAGTGACGCAAGACATCGAATTGAAATAATGTCAGTTCAACATGCTAAAATTTTAAGCGTATGTGCATAAATATATTAACAATTGGTATGTTAGCCAAAAAAATGCTTCTGATGGAAAATTGAACTATTATTTGAAATCTAAACAAAATTTTGGTTATGAAAATTATCTCACTTTGATTTTAGAAGAGCTATTTGCATTACGTTTTTCTGATCATAAGCTTCAAATTGAATTTGGCCGTTTTTTTCAAACATTCCTCGAAATGAAAAAATTTGCCAAAAAATGCTCCTCTGGCTGTGTTGAACATGAAATCGATTTTTTAAATTCATGTGAAAAATTTAACTCTGATAGAGATGCGCTCTTTGACTTTGTTTGCCAAAAAAAAATTCCAAACTTTTCTTTACTGGACAATATGCAAAAATTCATTTATTTATTAAGCTGTGAAGACAATCAGATCCTTAATGCAGTTAGAAAATTTATTAAAGTCAATATGACTTAGATCTATTTATTTTTCATATAATTATATTATATACTATACACCAAGGGCTTCATTACAGTCTAATTGTATTGTGATTGTGTATTTACATACTATGTATCTATGCTAATAAATGTTCTTTTTTTCTTATACATGTATGCTCTATATGCCCCTTGTGGGCCCTTAATTGGTAATAAAATATGTTCTTGTTCTTGTTATAAAAAATGAAAGATCAGGACGATCCCGTACTTGGGACGAGAGTATAATTTGTTATCATTTAGTTTTGCCCGTAAAACCGGAAGTGTCAAATTTGTGAAGAAGCATGCCGTCAATCGACGCAGAGTATGTTTGGCATACAATTTCTTTATGATAGTATACTATTTCCAAATTTTAAAGACTCCTTAACTTTTATAAAATCTAATACGTATTTTCTATTTCAGGCCGAAGGGATTTAGTTGGGCCGAACAGGTAGAGCAAGGAGAAGATGGTAAGGCGCCTTGAGTTTGACATATTGTCATCAAATGTTCTACTTCTAGTCCAAATAATTATGTCGTCTTGAAAGGCTATTTTAATTTTTTGCTTTGACCCCTTACTACTCGCAGGAAGGCGTCACATCAAAGAATTAAAATAGCCTTTCAAGACGTCATAATTATTTGGACTACAAATGTTCCAGCTGTTTTCATTGTAATCATACAGACTATTACACTAAAGTCTAAAGGGATAACATCTGTTGCAACAGTTAAATTGGAAGGTTCTGTTAGGTCTCTTAGTCTTAGATCGTATAATAATAAGAAAGGGGTGGTTTGATTGCCAATGAAGTTTATTTCTTTCTGATAGTCTCATGATCACTGTCAATTAAAATATTAGCCACAAATATAGTGCAAACAAAAATAAGGTATATTCGCTGTCATGTGAAAATGGCACTAAGTGTTTGGTCTTAGATTTATTAATTGTCAATTGCGTTCATTTGAAATGATGTTTTTCACTTAACAGAACCCATAACGTTTTTTCAAAATGAAATCAAGATTGACCTATCGTTTATTGTGGTTGCACAGTATTATTTTGACCTTTTTATTTTCCATTGTAATCCACCATCTTGGTTTCCATGAGGATCCTTTATTTACATAAAATTCTTTACTCTTGTCATGCTTGGTAATATTGATGTGACAAAGTTTTCTGCACTTTATCATGGTTACAGTGGCCTATCTTCTGGACTTACCTTGCAATTTAGGAAAAGTTCCGAGTAAACCATAATATATACAAACAACATGAAACTCAAGGGCACACTTCTGGTGAAAACAATGTTGGAATCCACCATTAAAAATTATCAAGGATAATTTGAAGGTCAGGGGCACCACTGTCACGGAATAGAAGTTCCTTCATAATATAAGTTCCAAATGGAAAAAATATTCTGGAATATTATTTCCACTGGAAAAAATATTACAGTAAATGTTCCTAACGGAATAAATGGTATAGAATATTTGTTCCAACAGGAACAGATATTATGACATTGTTTATAACAAAGTTTCCAGTGGAACTTCTGTTAGGCGGAACAAATATACGTTGACACCACCATGCTTAAAATCTGTAGGGATAACACTGGGACATATGTTTTTCTTATGACAGGAGGCAAAAAAAAGATAAACATATAAAAATAAGGAGATGTGGTATGCAGTCTGCACCAAAATATTTTTCAAATTCATCTGAAGACCAAAGGTCAACATTTTTCTTATGTGTCCAAAAAAGTTTTTCAAATACAAGTCCTAACAATATTTTACTAGCCTGGGTCATCGGACTAGTGGCTAACGGTGCAGACTGGGTATGATTGCCTATGAGACCGCTATCACCAGAGTTCAAATAAAGTGGATGTAAGCAATTATAGGCAACCATGCAGCCTTCAACAATGAAAAAAAAACTCATACCATATAGTAGGCTACAAAAGGCGGCAACATGAAAATTTGAAATCTGAGAAAACCAACAGCCTAATTTATAACAAACAATTTACAAAATACTAAAATGACAGACATGAACCAATGACAACCACTGAATTACAGGCTCCCTAATAAAGAATGTGGTGGGGGTAAACATGTTATGTGTACCATAAAAAGATAAAAATTTGTATATTATAATAATAAACAATGATAAATGACCCAAATAACCGCCATAATTTCATGACAGGAGTCCTGCCACCTTCTACAGAGACCATTGATGAAAACAAAGGCATCAAAGTAATCACAGAATACAAGTACAATGAAGATGGTAAAACAGTCAAGGTAAGATGTCCTTAGTTAAACATGGGGAACCAATGGCATACATTTCACCAGTACTTTGGTTCTGCTAGATTACAAATGTGGCCTGAATATGAATAAAATATTTGCCTCTAACCATTAATATTAAACACAATTTGCAAATCAAGTTTAAATCAAATGATTACTTAACATGCTTTATCCTCTGTGCTTTGATGCACATAATGCCAAATCTTTAGTGAGAAAAAATGTCTATTTTTGGTTACATAATTTAAAAAAAATGATACATGATAAAATGGGTTTGCCACTGCAGGTTCTAACAAATCCTACTTAAAACATCAGCATTTACATGATCAGTTAGTGTAAAAAGGTCAAGTAATTAGAGTGAAGACAATGTGTTTCTTGTTGCAAATCTGAACATGGACACGATGGATATGGTAGTCAGATTTTTTTCTCAACTTGGTGTTTAATCCAGAGTCAGAATATTGAAGTTGTGTTAAAATATTATTTCTTTGAAATCCAAATCAAAAATTTGATGCTAGTTCTATCATTGTCTATCTTTCTCAATATATTTTTGTTGTTGCTGACATTCTTGATAACATTGTCAATACATGTGTATATATATATTTAGTTTATGACATGTACAGATTTAAACTATTAACCTGAGAAGATCAAATATGACAAATTAATCAATTAAAAGAAAAGAATAGAAACTCCTATATTACAAAAGTAAAGGAAAAAAGTTGTAGTTAGTAGAAGAAATATGATTATATATATATATTGTTGAAAATAATTAGAACTGTTCATAGAGGTACGTAAATAACACTGATTTTATTAGAAAAGAGTTTATAAGATCATATATTAAGTATCCAGGACTTTGAAGGCAACAAATTTAAAAGAAAAGTCTGTTGATAAATAACTAGAAAAAAACTGACATGAACATCAACAACTCAAAAATTGATTTCATAAAATCACATTTTGACTTGCAGAAGTCAAAACAGAAGTAGACTTATTTATTCTGAGAGCTATGACTGTAATAATTGAAAAATTGTTATAAAAAATTATCATCTAGCTACAATTGAATTGTGTTAATAGTTTTGCTTTTATTTTACATATAGATTATCAAGACATACAGGATTGAAAGAAGAAGAGTCCCAAAATCAATTGCGAGAAGAAAGGTATATTCTTTCTATCATTATATTGGTTGTGATAGCTTTTGAGATCCATCCATCGACCTTTGCTGATAAAATTAAATACTCACATTATGTATCACATTCAAAGCTTATAATTTTGCCTGAGTAACAAAGTTTATTGTAAAGAGAGATAAGAATATTTTTAAATTGTTATATTGGCTTACCTCTTTTCGTCTATCCCATGGAATTCTAATAATATTTTTCTCATGAAGCAGATCAACAAATGAGAGCTTTCTAAAATTTGGTATCGCACATTATGTGAGCATGCTATACAGTGAGATGCTTTACCACATCTATTGGTCACCAACTTCATGTTAACCAAATATTTATAGTAGGGGTATCATTCATAGTACATCTGGTTTTACCCTAAACATAATTTTAACCTTGATTACAGAATTGGAGGAAGTTTGGATCAGCAGAAAAGGATCCACCAGGCCCAAACCCTGCCAATACTATAGTACAAGTAGAAGAAATTCTCATGCAGTTTGTTCAAAATGATGAGGTAAGAAAGAACAGACGATATAAAGGGATACAAAGATAGTAAAATCAAGATTCTGAGAGAAAACAGAAAAACAAAAATCAGTAAATCTGTATAAATCGCAAAATATATGTTACATGATTATTGTGCAGGAGTCAAATACATTTGCAGATTACTACCTCAGGTCAAGTTGACCATAGTCAGTATTGGCTGTTCTTTTAATAGCCTGAGTTGGTTTTGTATGATCTGAAAGGTTCTTATCTTATTTTTGGCTTTACTAACTCTTTGTCATGATAATACATATGTATGTTCATACGTCCCAAAATTAGTTTCCGTTCTCGGACCTTAGTTTTCCTCAACCAAATGTTATGAAATATATACACAATTGTTATTACCACCAAACACAGGTCAAGTTTGAATTTGGGTGGTGTTACTTTCACCGTTATCAAGTGATGTTCCTTTATAAATGGAAAAATTACTAAATTTGCTGTTTCCTCACTCTACTTTTGTTTGCCTCAACCAAATGTTATGAAACTTATACACAAGGCTTATTACCACCAAACTCAGATCAAGTTTGAATTTGGGTGGGATCACTTTCAGCATTATGGAGTTATGTCCCTTTATAACTGAAACAATTGCTAACTTTGCTGTTTCTGCACTCTTTTAACTTTAGTATGCCTCAACCAAATGTTATGAAACTTATACACAAAGGCTTATTACCACCAAACACAGATCAAGTTTGAATTGGTTGGTGTCACCTTCGCTATTCTTGAGTTATGTGCCTTTGTAAATTGAAAAATTGCAGAATTTTTTGTATATGGGTTCACTGAATATGGAAATGTGATAGTGGGAGTGGGGCATGTGTCCTATTGATGCATATCTTGTTTGGATTTAAATTTAAACTTTACAATTTTATAGGTTAAAGAAGAAAAAGAAGAGGACCCACTTGCTAAACTGAAGGCCCAGAAAATGGTGTCTTGTCGTATATGTAAAGGAGACCATTGGACTACAAAATGTCCATACAAGGACACTTTAGGTCCAATCCAAGAGAAACTACAGGATGGAGATAAACCAGCAGGAGAACAGGGGGCAGCACCAACACCAGCAGTTCCCGGGGCTGCAGCACAGGCTAAACCAGGTGGAAAGTATGTCCCACCCAGTCTTAGAGATGGAGCATCTAAAGGAAAAGGGGAGACAATGCAGTCTAAAAGAGGTAAAATCATCATGATTGTCAGTGATTGTGTCTGTACATTGCAGTTAATATTTCATTCTTTGGGTTTTTATATTGAATCAGTTTTAGACAATATTGACAGAAAAGTTTTTAATTTGAGTAATACTATCTTCAACTTTTAAAAATATAGCATTATAATCTTTTCTGATTTAAAATTCTTCATTTGTACCAAAAATATGGTTCTATGTCATGATATATGTGTGGCATTTAAAAAAAAATCAATTTGTGAAATATTAAAATGATTCCCCCTCCCCCTTCGCATGTCTTCTAAATTTTCAAAAGTTAAAATATGATTGTTGTTCTGGATAAAATTAAATCAGAAAGTGTTGAAAATCATACCTTCCTCTTTTGAAATTTCATTAACATGGTTATAATTAGATAGCGAAATTCACATATAAAATACTATAACATACTGCTTTTCATTACATTTGTAATTTTAACCTTTGTGTAAATGGGTAATTGAACTTTTCTCATATATCTTGTGATAATTCAATCAATGCATGGCATTATTAATGTAAGGGAAAAAACATCTAGATAATTAAACAAGTGCTTGGAAAATATGCTGTATCTTATACTTATTGTTAAGATATCTATTTAAAAATTCAACAAATTATTTGAAATGATTTGGCCACTGTTGATGTCAGTATTTATTTTATGTGTTTGCCATATTCTATTGATTTGTTATTATTTCAGACGAGTCTGCTACTATTCGAGTTACTAATTTATCGGAGGATACCAGAGAGTCTGATTTACAGGAATTGTTTAGACCATTTGGTCCTATACAGAGAATTTACTTGGCAAAAGATAAAAATACAGGACAGTCTAAGGTAAGCTAAACACTGTTTAAGTTGTCCGAAACACTAAATTTTTGTGGGTTAAGAAATTCTAAGAAAGAAATTATTTTTTTGCAAAATTAGTTTTAATTTTGATCATCATTTTGATTTAAAAATAATTATGCCAAAACTATTGGGATTAGAGGATCAGATTTTTTAAAATTCACATTTAATTCTGGTTCCAGTCTTGACAGTCTTGTACAATTCCAATTGAATGCAGGAATTTAGGGCTATTCCATTAAAACGAATGTGGAGGGATAGAAAGGGATTTTTTATTTCATGGTTGTATGTCTGTTATTGAAAGAAAGCATGTTGGTTGTGGGGTGATTTTGAAAGTTCCTTGCTACCCTCCCACACCTATTTTAATGGAATAGCTCTTACAACTAACATGGTGCTAGTGAACTTTATAAGGATTTTTGCATGAAACATTTGAGCTTATATATTAAAACTTAATTTTTGTCTTTTTCTACAAGAGATAAAAATGTTTGGGTTACAGCCCAAAAAAGGTTTAATTTGGGAACTCTATACACACAAATGTTTTTTCTGATATATATGGTACATAATCTTACAATTGTTTTATTTTACATATTTTTCAACAGTTATATTTATTTGATAATGTACATGAATAAACAGGAATAAAATGAGGTGTAAACGTAAAAATCAACGAGACAGCTACATGACAAGCAAGTCAAAATTTCACCTCTAGTGTAGATATTACAACGGTTGAAATGTTTCTTTGCACAGGCAATGTATACGAAATCCTAATTGATCTGTTTTGTAGGGGTTTGCATTTATCAACTTCCACAGAAGAGAGGATGCAGCTCGGGCCATCGCTGGTGTGTCTGGATTTGGATATGATCATCTTATTCTTAATGTTGAATGGGCAAAGTAAGTATATAGTTAAAGTCTAATACCAGATTTTTTGGTAAACACTTTAATTGTGTGTAATTGTTCGCATTTAATCATGCATATGACAGAGGTGCTTTTCTTTTTGATTGGAATTTTACAACTGCAATAAATTAAGCTTGTTTTTTGTTTGTTTGGTAACACATTTGTTCATTTTCATGGTAGTCAGTTTACAGACAAATCCAAATAGGCCTGTTTAAACAGCTGATCAGTAGCAAGTATATGATAAAGAGAGTTGTAGTAGGGGGGGTTATTTTAATTTCATGATGAACGAAAATTGAAACAATGGCTGAATTGTTGCCTTTTCACCAATTTGCATTAAACACTGTGAATAACAAGCATCAAGCAAGAAAACATGTGAAATAAAAATTGCAGATCAAGCACATATTGAAATTTTATCAATTTCACAAATAAAGGAGATTGATTTAAATTCCTTTCTATGGTGATTATATGCTGACGTTATCTTCACAGGTTGAAAACTGTTGTCAATTACCTAAACCACATGCCACCACTTATGTTTCCGCTTTGACATGAATATTTATGTGATTTATCCATAATCAAAATTACGGAATAGGATTATTTAATTTGATTTTAATTTCAATTATTACTCAAGAGTTATTTGTTTTATTTTTCAGACCATCTGGTACAAATTAGCCTACAGAGAATCCAGATTAACCTGTTGATTTAGTGCTGAAATTTGACAAAACATTGCTTTTCTCATCATAGATTTTAAATGGTCAAACAAAGTGAAAGATATCTTTTCACAAATAAAATAATGAGAATGAATAAAAGATTTAATTTCTTAAGTTCCATGTATGTAAATACTTGTATAAAGCTTTTATTGATGGAAAACAGACATGACAAAGGGGGGACAAACCAAAGACTTTAAAATTGATATTTGCTGCTTCACAGCTAAGCACATAGCACTAAGGAGTAAGAGCAAAGACGGGTCAAATAGTATCAGAATAATGTGTCCGGGTAAGGTATCGTGTCTTCCTGCGAACTGTTACCTTGTGAACTAGCACGTTATAAATCTGGCTCACCATGTTGGTGTAGTACAAAACAAGGTTCATATTCATATCGCATTAACTTGTTACGTGCTGAATATGCATTTAATTTGCCACTGGACATTAAACAGCCATCTATCCATCAAAGTAAACAGCACTGAAAATTAAGCAACACATCCCCTACTAACACCAGTGTACTCTGCAAGGGTTAGCAGTTCCTGCTTGACTGGTGTATCCATTATATTGACCATGCCATATAAATCCTTACTGGTAATTTCAAATATAGCCATACATAAATGTGATAACTTTTGTATTCCTGGCAATGTGTTATGTTTATATCAAATACCAGTAGCATTTTATACAAATAAAACTATTAGACAAGGTAAAGAAAATTATTACACAAGGTGAAAAATGGCATCTGTCCTTTTACAAATCAGCCTGACACCTGAAAAGAATTTCTTTTTACTGTTATATTTATTTATGGCGAATGGTTACATATATTTTCACTAATAGTACTCATTTAACAATGTAGGAAAATGTGGTTATATTTATTTGTATCTGTATATCCACTGTAGTTTGTGTTTGGATTTATTAGGGTTTTTGTATCATATTGAGCTTGTTTTGGTCTTCGGTTATTTAATGGAAACTTACTGAATTAAGTTTATATTGTATTGTACAAAATTTTTTAAGGAATGTTGACCGTTTGACTTATAACTATTTAAATTTTATGAGTTTTTTTGTTATTTTGAAAGATTTTGTAGTTGTATTCAATGTGTTCAGATGTTTAAAAAAAAATATCATTAAGTTGTCTGACAAAAGAAAAATTGAGAACTTTCATTCTTTCATATGATGAAGGTACATACTCATTTATAGGAAATGGTCAAACTTGATCTGTGTTTAATTATCCATTATATTGTGTAATATACTAGATTGGTGGTCTCCTGCATGCAACAAGTGCTGAAGATTGTTGGTTCAATCCCTTTCCAATTCAAACAAGACTTTAAAATCAGTATTCGCTGTTTCTGAGGGTTAAAGTCATATGAAAAGAGTTTCTTGTAATTTTGATGTTTTCAAATTATTGAACCAATGCATGCATATATAGTTGTTAATTTCTGTGTCATTTGGTGTCTTGTGAGAGTTGGCAATTATACCACATCTTCTTATTAGTCCCCTACTGACGAAGTCGAAGAGGACTTTAGGTTTGCAATCTGTCCGTCTGTCTGTCTGTCCATCCATCAGTCTGGCAAATCAGTTTTCCACACTTTTTTTAGCTCACCTGGCCCAGAGGGCCAGGTGAGCTTTTCTCATCACTTGGCGGTCTTTGTCCGTTAACTTTTACAAAAATCTTCTCCTCTGAAACTACTTGGCCAAATTTAACCAAACTTGGCCACAATCATCATTGGGGTATCTAGTTTAAAAAAAATGTGTCCGGTGACCCGGCCAACCAACCGACCCGGCCGCTATGGCTAAAAATAGAACATAGGGGTAAAATGTAGATTTTGGCTTATATCTCTGAAACCAAAGCATTTAAAGCAAATCTGACATGGGGTAAAATTGTTTATCAGGTCAAGATCTATCTGCCCTGAAATTTTCAGATGAATCGGACAACCCGTTGTTGGGTTGCTGCCCCTGAATTGGTAATTTTAAGGAAATTTTTTTGGTTATTATCTTGAATATTATTATAGATAGAGATAAACTGTAAACAGCAATAATGTTCAGCAAAGAAAGATCTACAAATAAGTTAACTTGACCAAAATGGTGAGTTAATATAGCCATGATATTTTCTTTTATATTTTCAATGCGTTGCCATTTGTTAATTAAACTTCCTTATGACCTTAACAGTTGTTAAATTAATTGTTGTATTAAGAATGTTCTTTGAGAATCAGTTATTACTATTTACCTTCCAGTGTACGTTTGTTTACATTCTTTCGTCATGATTTTCCCCTTGCACTTGCGCTGTGTAATTGTCGAATTTCTAACGAAAGGGTTGTAGTTAAGGTCACTGCATATGGGAAAATATCGGCAAATTCGTATACGGGAAGACAATAATTTAATTGAAAATTTCGATAATATAAAGGATTTTCTTTCACAAGAAAGTTCACGTTCACTTGTTTTATAGTAAAACTTAGCCATTCAAGTAAATAAAACATATCAACTTTTTTTTTAAATTTGAAGTTTCATACGACTTTAAATATTTAGGTGGCTAAGTTGAAGTAAAATTATGTTAAAGGGGTTTAAGGCAACTAGAAGATGTGAGCTTCTATAGAAAAGTTAATGGCCATGTATGCATTAAGGAATCTCCTTTGCCCTCACAACTAAACAAAGGAACTGTTGAGCCTTCAAGTTTCAGACTGTTGCAGTAATTTTCATGAAGATTTTTCTACATACCAGGTACATGTTTTCTTATCTGCTCCACTGGTGGCTCCAACATGGTCAAATCAGACCTTGTTACCTGTGTGGCCTTATCTAAAAACAACTGTGACCAGTAATATAGGTTTATTGTTGGAACAAAAGGCTTCACTATTAAACCCTTGTAGGTAACTTCATATTTAAAAAAAAGCAAGTATTTGATTTTAATTATTTGGGTATTTATCAATATGAAAATTTTTTAACATTAATTTGGATGTGAACCAAAAACATTGCTGGTGTCCAAATTGGTTTAATAGTTTATAATGACACTTACTTTGCAATCATTGTATATTTGATAAAGGTGCAATATTTCAATTCTTAAAAGATTTATTTTAGATTCAGCCGGTCAGAAAAGCCTATTTAGCCATGGTAGACCTACTGATATTTGTTATAAGATAACAGTCATAGTTAAATAAACTGTTGACACAGAGATATGTCTGGCTTTTTGTAATTTTGATAGTAACATGTTGAAATTAAAATGGCAATATTTAAATATGTAAACTACTGTAAATTCAGAAATAATTGTGAGGTTTTTATTTATACGAATAATGCGACTGATTGAGTATCACAATAGTAAGAACTTGTATTCTGAAATTTGATACAAATATCCGTATGCAGATTTTTCTGATATCGCAATAATTAATCATGCATTTTTGTCCATTCTTCAAAAAACACAATAATTTCTGAATTTACAGTATGCAGAATATTCAAAGTCAATGAACCATGACTGACGGTGCAGGGCCAAATAACATCCATGGATATGAGAAATGTCAATGCTTATAAAACTGCTTATCAAATACCATTGCATTGTCATAAGTTACTGACCTAAACACAAACTTCAACTTGTAAACTATCCAAAAGTTTTAAAAGTCAGTTAACCATGATGATAGGGCCTGGCCATGGAAATGAGATGTGCCAATGCTAATACATCTGCATACCAAATATCATTGACCTACCACTAATGGTTCCCCTTAAACTGACCTAATCACAAACTAACACATGTAAACTAAGCAAAAGTTTCAAAGTAAATAACTGAAGGGGTGGGGCCAAATAATCTCCATGAAAATACTAAAACAACTACATACCAAATATTGCTGATCTATCACTAGTAGTTCACCATACACCAAAGGAAACAGCAAGCCTAAGTCTACCTTTTTCAACTTCTTCGAAGCAAAACAAAAATGCTTGTATACAACCCTGTCAAGTTTATTTGATTGCAGTTCAATAGCATGCACAAATGATGGCAAAAAAGTTGCATGTTTTTTTTCTTTCCAAAATGAGCAATTCAAAGAAGCTTCTTTACATTTTCCTATAATACTTCTTTTACACAGGAGACCTCGACCACTGAGGTTGCGAGTTCGAATCCCGCACGGGGCAGGTGCACTCGACTCCAACATTAATTTACTAGGATTGTCAGTTTTCCTACCGAAGGTTGGTGGTTCTCTCCGGGCACTCCGGCTTCCTCAACCAATAAAAACTGACCGCCACGAAATAGCATAATAGTGTTGAAAATGGTGTTTAACACCAATCAATCTTTTACACAGCAACATTATATTCCTTCTTTTTAATCAGACATCATACTATAACTTGCCTACATTTATTGTTTAAAATTCATGTGAATAATACCAAAACAAATATTTATATTTTTATTTACAATATAAAATTAATTACACTTTTGCATTTTTAACTGTAAAAATGAAAATTTTCGTGCTGTGGTTATTTCCGCTTATCTAGCAATCATGTAAAATACGGGAAAATATTCCCCTCTTGAATAGTTTACACAAATCAACCAAATTTATGAGAAGGGCTTATTTATCGTTCAATAAGTGAATTTAACCACAGCACAATAAATTTTGCATTGAAATTGTGAAAATATCAACACAAAATATAACTATTGATGAAATGTCATTAGAATCAAATAAGATACTTTGTTGGAAACAAACAATTTCAAACCATTGTTTAGTTTTTCAGAAACACATTAAATAATAAATATTAGAATGGTCCATATTTAATATGCAGTAATGTTTTAGTGAAAGTTCATTATTCTTTTATTTTTAATTTTTACAATACATCTTTGATAGAGCTTAAAATTTCTACCAGCACTAAAAAAAACCATCATAATAATTTATAACAATGTTAAACAGTTTGGTGATAGCATATATATGGTTTGCCACAATTAAGGACTTGCCCAGGGTAACAAGTATATATTTTCAATATAAAATAACCTTTCAACTTAAGCTTTGAGTTTAAGGCTTAATTGAATTGTTTCCCTTTCTTGTGTCAGCAAAATTAGCTTAAGCTGACTGTACTTATGAAATAGAATTTCACTGTTATTTCCATAGCAGATAAATGAATTTTTAGAGGAAAACAAAATAACTTAAAAAAAAACAGATTCAGTTTTCTGTAAATCTGCCTCTGGTTCTGCAAGATTGAACTGATGAGGGCTATTCCATTAAACTGGATAAAAAGGGAAGGAAGTGAAGTTTAATTTTTGGACATTGGTATAGGGTCATTTATGGTTGTATGTCCGTTTGATGTATGCAAAAAAATATGAACGTACGAGACCCTCCTGGTTATATACCCCTAAGTAGGAAGTATGCAAAACTATGAAAAGTATGTTGGACGTCTGGGCAATTTGGAAGTCCTCTTCTACTTATCCACATCTATTTTATTAGAATAGCAAAGATGGGAAATAGTGAGGGACGATTATGTACCAAACACAATTATTTTCATTTTAAAAATTTATGAACATACATGTATTAATGAATATATTCATGCATTTAATGTTATAATAACAAACAATGAAGGTAAACAGAGAATAATCTAGAATATCATCAGAGGAACATAATGGTTTGCCCACGTCTGTACTTTTTAAAAAATATATCATGATGCAATGAAAAAAAAAGAATTGATCACAACTATGTAGATGTTTTTGCTCAATTTGTTCTAGATTATGCCCTAATCCATTATAATTAGTTTCAAACAAATCGAATAAATAATTAGTCAGTTCAAACATAGTATATCATTATTTTGATACGATTTTCTTTTGTCCATTTTTCTACATGTCCATTTACTTAAAATTTCTTGACACTCAACTATTCTGTTTCAAATTATTGGTCTTTATCAACTAATATTATAAAAAGTAAGGTGTTGTTGACTTTGCTGGTATAACTCGTTCTGAATCGGGAACAGCTCTGAAAAGTTTAGCTTCCCTGTTATCTGCGTCGTTAAATGATAATACTGCAGCAATGTTTCCACATCTATAGCAATAGTTAGGTGCTGACCATACTGTTACTAACTTCTCATCAAACATATACTTATATCCTGTAATATTCAAATTTAAAATTCATATTATTACTATTATTAAAATACAATGTTTATAAACCCCTTTCTAATAAAAAAATAAATTTTAATTGCTCTACACAATAAACAAGAATGTGTCCATAGTACACGGATGCCCTACTCACACTATCATTTTCTATGTTCAGTGGACTGTAAAATTGGGATCAAAACTCTAATTTGGCATTAAAATTAGGAATTTCATATCATAGGGAACATGTGTACTAAGTTTTCAAGTTGATTGGACTTCAACTTCATCAAAAACTACCTTGACCAAAAACTTTAACCTGAAGCGGGACAGACGGACGAACTGACACACAGACCGAAAAAAACATAATGCCCCTAGGTGGGGCATAAAAATAATAGTATCAATAAACAAACAAAAATATGGTACAAAAGGTGAGGTAATAAAAAAGATTTCCATTGTAAATTTCATATTAAAGAGAAATAACTCCTGTAAAAATAATAGATCAGCACTGATTTTCAAATTCAGCAAATACATTACTGATGTAAACTTTTGATATAAATTTCACAACAATCCTACAAGAAATGTGGTTGTGACAGAGCTAACAATGCAATTTTATAATTTTGTAAAGTGGATTTTACAATAGTCAATTCATCCATGTTATGGAATTTTATCTTTAATATACAGTTATGTGATTAGAATTTATTTACATATAGCTAACAATGGATCTGTGTTTATAAATTTATAAAGAACATATACCATATAATAAATATCATCTAATGAAATACATATTAATTTTTTTTTATAAAGTGATATTATGCACTTAAATTCCAATTCACGTCTATCTAATTCCAAGTTTGTTTCAGCATATTGCATTAATATATACCTAGATGGCTTGATCTGGGAAATTTAATTAAATTGCATCCACATATTCAATTTGTTTATTTTTAGAGAAAGTTCTGTTCTGAAAGTATATCTAAACTGTTATCTTTTATTATGAAAAAATCTGAAAATGTTCAAAGTGTTGATAAAAATACTATTGATGAAATTGTAAATGAAATAAGAGATGTTTTTCTCAATTCTGCTAGAAATACATTTGGTGAGTTCGTACAGAAAACTTATGGATATGATTTCACGGGAGGGAAACAAAATCACCGTGATTGGTTTAACACAGAATGCCGCCGGGAAAGGAGGGCGTTTAGAAAATCAAAAAGGTTATATAAACGATATGGTTCACGCATGTTCAATGAACGTATGAGACGTAGTGAGACTCTATATAAAAAAACCATGGATAAAAATATTAGATCATTTAATGTTAATTTACGTTCAAAAATGAAAAAGATGCGAACAAAAAACCCGAAAGATTTTTGGAAAATTATAAATCGAGGTAGACGAAGGAAAAAAATGATATTAATATTGAAGATTTGTTTTCCTTTTTTAAGGATCTGAATAAAAATAACGAAACAGAAAACCGATACATATTAGAAAATGATGTTAACGAAAATTCATCAAATGTATTTCTCAATGCTTGTATCACTAAAGATGAAATATTGAAGGCCATAAAAAGCCTGAAAAATAATAAGACACCTGGTGATGATCTTATTGTAAATGAATATATATGTTCGTCTATTGAATTTTTTATTGATGTTTATGTGTATCTATTTAATCTTATTTTTGACACAGGATTGTTGCCTGAGGCATGGTTAATAGGAAATGTAATTCCATTGTTTAAAAACAAAGGCTCTGAAAATGATCCACAAAACTATAGGCCTATAACGTTATTATCTACTATGGGTAAACTTTTTACCTCAATATTGAACACAAGATTATGTAATTATCTTGATGAATTATGTATACTAAATGAAAACCAAGCAGGTTTCAGAAGGGATTATTCTACGACTGAACACATTTTTACTATACATATTTTATTTGAATTATTGAAATTGGGAAAGAAAAGGTTACATTGTGCTTTTATCGACTTTGAAAAAGCGTTTGACTCTTTACAGCGAAATTTACTTCTGTTCAAATTATTGCAGAATGAAGTAAATGGGAATTTTTTTCGTGTTATTCAGAATATGTATGATTTTGCCAAATCTCGTATTATACATGAGGGCAAAAAATCCGATTTCTTCCCTTGTGAGATGGGGGTACGGCAAGGGGAAAACCTTTCACCTGCTTTGTTTTCTATATTTTTAAATGATCTTCAAACTTTTTTTGAACAGAAAAATATAACTGGCTTAAAATCTATATCACAAGATATCGAAAATGAGCTGTCAGTATTTTTGAAATTATTTCTACTTTTATATGCAGATGATACTGTTTTATTAGCAGAAAATAGCACTGATCTACAATACATGTTAAATACCTTTTACGAATATTGTGAAGAATGGAAAATGAAAATAAATACAAATAAAATTAAAAACCAATTGTTCAGAGAACAATTGAAGGTCTTTCCACCAGTAAGGATCTATTTTGATATGAAAAATATTAAAATTAGGTTTTTAAATGTCAATTCCAGTGTCAAATGACAGCTTAATGTACGCTTATTCCAAAAATATATGGTTTCTATGCAAAAAAAGATAAATAAGGGAGATAATTTTTGACTTCCGGTTTAAAAAATGTCACTTCCGGTATTGTTTGATAGTTTACTTGACACTGATTCCAAAAATATATAGTTCTATATACTTGAACATTAATTTAGTACAATAAATAGCTACTTCCGGTTTACACGAGGTCACTTCCGGTTGGCTTTTTCAAGGTCAAATGGCTTGCAACCTAATGCAAAAAGTCCCATGGCTTTATCATGTATATATATGAGGTAAAAGCAAAGGTCAAAATATAGAACGTCAAATCAACCTTTGACCTTGACCCCAATTTCAAGGTCATGAAACAAGGGCTTCAAATCAAAATACCCTAGGTCTCAATTATATATGATGAATGAGTTATATCACCATACGTGTAATTTTGAATATGATAGGGGAGAAAACTGCCATTAAATGTCTCCGTAACCTTTCAACTCAAATTTACGTGTTACAACATGTCGCAACTAACAAGTCTGGAAAAAAATTTGTCGATATCTTATAAGATTTCTGAAAATTAGTGATAACAAGCCAAAAATCAAAATTTTTAACATGACCTTGACCTTTGACCTTGACCTCATTTTCATTTTTATGGACCAAGGACCTCAAATCAAAAGACCCTAGGCCTCTATCACTTATGGTTTTCCAGTTACAAATACATTTCACTTATATTAAATACAAAAGGGGAAATAACTCTCATATGGAGTCTTTGTAAAGCTTCAGTCTAAATAAAACCTAACATCCTGAGGATATAACGAGCAATTTGGAAAAATAAATTTGTCGCTTTCTTTTACGGTTTCAGAGGAGATCTCATAACAAGAAAAACAGTGTTTGGGGAGATAACTCTTACAAAGAAAAGTGTTCGGTTAAACAGGGTCAGTTTGAAAAGCGTATAGACTGTATGATATCATATACCCAAAAACTAAGCGACATCTTTTGAAACAAAAATACACCGCAAGAAAAAAATTAGGCGGAAGGAAAAAAAAAAAAAATAGAATGTCAAATTAAACTTTGACCTTGACCCCAATTTAAAGGTCATGAAACAAGGGACTCAAATCAAAAGACCCTAGGTCTCAATTATATAAGATGAATAAGTAATATCACCATACATGTAATTTTGAATATAAAAGGGGAGAAAATTCCCATTAAATGTCTCAGTACCCTTTCAACTCAAATTTACTTGTTACAACATGTTGCAACTAACAATTCTGTAAAAAAATTTGTCGACATCTTATAAGATTTCTGAAAATTAGTAATTACAAGCCAAAATCAAAATTTTTAACATGACTTTGACCTTTGACCTTGACCTCAGTTTCATATTTATGGACCAAGGACCTCAAATCAAAAGACCCTAGGCCTCTATCACTTATGATTTTCCAGTTACAAATACTTTTCACATATATCAAATACAAAAGGGGAAATAACTCTCATATGGAGTCTTCCTAAAGCTTCGGTCTAAATAAAACCTAACATCCTGAGGATATAACGAGCAATTTGGAAAAATAAATTTTTCGCTTTCTTTTACGGTTTCAGAGGAGATCTCATAACAAGAAAAACAGTGTTTGGGGAGATAACTCTTACAAAGAAAAGTGTTCGGTTAAACAGGGTCAGTTTCAAAAGCGTATAGACTGTATGATATCATATACCAAAAATGTAAGCGACAACTTTTGAAACAAAAATACACCGCAAGAAAAAAATTAGGCATAAGAAAAAAAAATAAAATAAAAATAGAACGTCAAATTTAACTTTGACCTTGACCCCAATTTAAAGGTCATGAAACAAGGGCCTCAAATCAAAAGACCCTAGGTCTCAATTATATAAGATGAATGAGTTATATCACCATACATGTAATTTTGAATATAAAAGGGGAGAAAACTCCCAATAAATGTCTCAGTACCCTTTCAACTCAAATTTATGTGTTACAACATGTCGCAACTAACAAGTCTGTAAAAAAATTTGTCGATATCTTATAAGATTTCTGAAAATTAGTGATAACAAGCCAAAAATCAAAATTTACAACATGACCTTGACCTTTGACCTTGACCTCATTTTCATTTTTATGGACCAAGGACCTCAAATCAAAAGACCCTAGGCCTCTATCACTTATGGTTTTCCAGTTACAAATACATTTCACTTATATTAAATACAAAAGGGGAAATAACTCTCATATGGAGTCTTCGTAAAGCTTCGGTCTAAATAAAACCTAACATCCTGAGGATATAACGAGCAATTCGGAAAAATAAATTTGTCGCTTTCTTTTACGGTTTCAGAGGAGATCTCATAACAAGAAAAACAGTGTTTGGGGAGATAACTCTTACAAAGAAAAGTGTTCGGTTAAACAGGGTCAGTTTCAAAAGCGTATAGACTGTATGATATCATATACCCAAAAACTAAGCGACATCTTTTGAAACAAAAATACACAGCAAGAAAAAAATTAGGCGGAAGAAAAAAAAAATAATCAGAAGAAAACCAATAGGTCTTTCCACGGAAAGGTGGAAAGACCTAACTAAAGTTTTGATCTTTTCGAGTGGCAGAATGCCAGCAAATCTCAAGTTCACAGTAAATTGCAATGATATTGAAATTGTAAAAGAATACAAATATTTAGGTATTTTATATTCTAGAAGTGGATCCTTTTTATCAAATAAAAAATATTTAAAAGAGCAAGCCACAAAAGCTATGTATAGTGTTTTAAAAAAAGGTAGACAAAACAATTTGTCAATAGAATGTCAACTTGATTTATTTGACAAAATGGTTTTACCAATACTGCTATATGGATCAGAAATATGGGGTTTTGAAAATATAGATATACTTGAACGTGTACATTTACAATTTTGTAAAATGATTTTACATTTAAAACAGTCTACTCCAAATTTCATTGTGTATGCAGAGCTTGGCAGATACCCCATTACCGTGTCTGTGAAATTGCGAATGGTTAATTTCTGGAGTAGACTTCTTAATGGAAAAGAAAGTAAAATTTGTGTTATATTATACAAACTTGTATTTTTATATTATAATGATAACGGAATAGAAACTAAGTGGATATCATATGTTAAAAATATTTTTGATAATTGTGGTATGTCCAATATATGGAATGCACAGTTTGTTGATAAATGGGTGACAAAATGTATTGAGCAAAAACTCAAAGACCAGTTCCAACAAGAATGCTTTGCTTTTGTTGCAGACTCGCCTAAAACTATATGTTATCGTATTTTTAAAAAGAATTTTCAATTTGAAAAATATTTTTCTTCTTTGCCTTACAAATTTATTCATACATTTTGCAAATATAGATGTGGAAGTCACCACTTGCCGATTGAGTCTGGAAGGTGGCAGGGTATACCGAGAGAAGACAGAATCTGCCGTCTCTGTGACTCAAACGACATTGGTGACGAGTATCATTACATCATGAATTGTGGAACATTTAATTTGGAAAGAAAGAAATTTTTACCGAAATACTGTTTGTCAAACCCTAATATCTATAAATTTGATCAACTGTTTAATTCATCAAATATTGTAATATTAGAAAAACTATGTAAATTTATCAAAGTTATAAATGTGAAAGTCAGTCCTCCAAGTTAATTTTATTGTATTGTTCGCACATGCATGCAAAAATTGTATTTTATAGTTATATTCATGTATGTTCTCTATAACTATGTAATTGTAGTTTTATGAGAAATAAAGTATTCGTATTCGTTCCTTAAAATATTTTGATTACATGTATACTGGTAATTGCATTATGTTTCCATTATTGGTCAATACCTGTATGCTAATCAATGACTTTGCCAAAATAGTGGTGGAGGTTGTTTTCAAAGTGAAGGACCAGACCTTAATGAGAAGGTATTTCAATGCAATTTCAAATCAAGACAAATATGACCAATAAAAAATTGAAAAAAATACAAACAATAACTCTAAAGTAACTTACCTTCATGCACTAACTGATGAGCTCTACATATCAACTTCAAACCATTTATATGTACAAACTAAAAAATCAAATTGTAAACAGATAGATTCAACATTCAAAATTCCTTCCAATATCTTTTATAGTATTGAATAATTACATATCAGGGCTTTGAAATAATTATTTTCTGTTGAAGTAGGGTTGAGCACTCACAATAATACTCAACCATGCCACATTCTTTATTTGCCTATTCAAAATCAGGAGCCTTTAATTCAGAGGTTGTTGTTGATTGCTGTCTGTCATATTTGTTTTTTATTAGTTCGTTTTTAGCATAAATTAGGCTGTTGGTTTTCCCTTTTGGATTTTTTCACATTTTTTATGTCAGGGCCTTTTATAGCCTACTAAACAGGATAGGTTTTGCTCATTGTTGAAGGTCTTAAGGTGGCCTATAGTGTTTACTTCTTCATCCTATCATCTCTGGTAGATAGTGGTCTCATTGGCAATTACATGTATACTATATCCTATCTTAACCACTATATTTCAAACTAGGGAACTATCAAATATAATGTATATAAAACACTTCAAAAAATAAATTTTGAATGTTGCTTTCTGGTAAGTATCAGGGTCAGTTCACATTGAATTTGTAAGTGTCTGAAAAGTCTGACTCTATATATGACTAAGTACCAGTAGGTGTTTGAAAAGTCCATATATGACTAATTATGTGTTCTGAAATTTATATATGGAATTATGTGGAGCTAAATATCAATTTTAGTATATAAATTCCAGCTGTTAGTTATAGAAGAATTTATAACACTAACCTCATTTGTAACTTTGGCACCAAACAACCATCCTGCTCCTCTTGGACTAACAGACCATGTATCTACATCTTCTGGATCAGACCATACCAAATGTTCAATGTATTAAGGAAAAGTTTTATAAGAAAAAATGTTTCATAAGCAATTTCTATATTATACAAACAGTCCAAGGGCTGTTCCAAATTTTATCATGGTGGGGGATTGGAGCCACTCAAATTGTCTAAATTTGGGGCCTGGGAGGAACTCAAATTGTCTAATTGTGGTTGGTTGCATTTTCCTTAGAATTTTGTAAGAATTACAAGTAAAACAAAAATTTTATATTATGAGTGGTTGGGGTCTTAATAAATGCCTCCCATGCCCGGCATGCCTTGATTTAGGAACAGTCTAAGTGGAATGTGGAAGATCACATGAACTAAAGGGATTGAATGAAACATGAACCCAATGACACAAGAAGCCAAAAAGACATCTACTTTGATACCGCATTTTTGCACCAAAGTCAGGAGTCTCTGGCCTTTGTTAGTCTTGTATGTTTTTTTAATTTTAGTTCATTTATGTGTTTCGGAGTTTAGTGTGACATCCATTTTCACTGAACTAGTACACATTTTTGTTTAGGGTCCAGCTGAAGCCCGCCTCCCGGTGCGGGATTTTCTCGCTGTGTTGAAGACCCATTTGTGGCCTTGGGCTGTTTTCTGCTCTTTGGTCGGGTTGTTGTCTCTTTGACACATTCCCCATTTCCATTCTTAATTTCAAACAGTAATTCGAAGGTCTATAATTATGTATTTTATGTCAATATCTAAAATTGATATTTGCAGCTAACTATTCTGTGCAGTACTGGTATGTTTAGATTATATGGTTTTCTACACTTTCACATCATAAAATATCAGTTGTGAGCCTCAATGTGAACAATTTTGGCGAGTGCAGCGAAAACAATAAATATCCAAAAACAAAACTGTCACAACAGATTTTTAGATTAGACCCCTCCTTCCTATATGTTGAAAGAGAAGGGACAAGGTCTGAAATTTTGATGGTTTTATTTTAATTTAAAACTTTTTACAGACTCTGGATGATTTAGAACTAGAAATATTATATAGTATATTTCTGAAGAAATGTAGGACAGAAAGTCACAGGACAAAAAGTCACGGACAAAAAGTCACAGGACAAAAAGTCACAGGACAAAAAGTCACAATTCAGTTTTGAGATTACATTTCTTTAAACAAGAAAACACTAATTTAAAAAATAAAATTTTTATTTTTTCTTGAACTATTATATATGAAGCAACTTTGTAATTAAAATTAATTCAATAAATATCAATAATGATCAAATAATTGTTATGAAAACAAAATGTCAAAGTGGCTTGGTACTTAAATGGCTTCATTGTGGCAAGAAATATATCCTTTGCATGTTTAAAATTTAATAAATTTTAATCAAGGCTTATGAACAATTTCCTAAACTTAAAAATGAATATATGTAATAAAAAGAAAATATTTCAAGATCTTTCTCTTATATATTCAAACAATTGTCAACAAATTATTTGTGACTTTTTGTCCTGTGACTATTTGTCCTATCAAATTTGTGACTTTATGTCCTGTGACTTTTTGTCCTGTGACTTTCTGTCCGTTTACCATTTCTGAAGACTGTATTTTGCCCTCTTGTTTTAGTTATTTTTGTCATTTGGTTGCTGTCTCATTGATGTATACCTCACATTATTCATAACACAACTGAAACTTACAATGACTTTGTCTCTAAATGAGTTGAGCAACAATATCCATATAAATGATCACAAGAAGTTTAAATTCAAATCTACACAGAAAACTGTTAAGAGATCTAAAATTCCATATCAAACCACTGGACAACCAAAACATTTTAGTGCAGCAGAAAAAGTGGTTTGATTGATTTATTATTGCGTTGGTTGTTATTTCCAGAAGCAAGTATTTAATGCATATTGAGATAAATAGACACTAGCATGTTACCATTTAAAAATTTTTTAACAATTCTTAACACTACTGGTCTTGTTTAGAACTGATACCAAAACTAGGATTTTGAACACACTTTCTTCAAATCTATACAAATAGTACAAAAGCTCATAATTCAAATGCATTTAGAAGTATAAGTACCAAGCAACTACCCATTGACATTAGGGATACTGTGTCCTGGTAGGAAGATCTATGTATATAGACTTGCCTTGTGAGCAAGATTTATCATGTTATAAATCAGGCCAATATGTACACTATAACAGTTAGTGTGGATTTCTACATATTAATCATGTCAATGGTGTGCAGACCATCTAATAAGATTCTAGAATATACATTTTTTGTAGCAACGTTGAACACATACATTGATTTCTTTATTATGTAAATTAGTCTTACTTTTTAGTGTTCAAATATAAACCATCCAGAAGTTTTGCCTGTTTCCAGTCACTACAATCATGGACAGGTGGACATTGTAAAATCCATGTGAGGTGTAGTGTATATACTACAATCATGGACAGGTGGACAATGTAAAATCCATGTGAGGTGTAGTGTATATACTTCAATCATGGACAGGTGGACATTGTAAAATCCATGTGAGGTGTAGTCTATTTACTACAATCATGGACAGGTGGACATTGTAAAATCCATGTGAGGTGTAGTGTATTTACTACAATCATGGACAGGTGGACATTGTTACATCCATGTGAGGTGTAGTGTATTTACTTCAATCATGGACAGGTGGACATTGTTACATCCATGTGAGGTGTAGTGTATTTACTTCAATCATGGACAGGTGGACATTATAAAATCCATGTGAGGTGTAGTCTATTTACTACAATCATGGACAGGTGGACATTGTAAAATCCATGTGAGGTGTAGTGTATTTACTACAATCATGGACAGGTGGACACTGTTACATCCATGTGAGGTGTAGTGTATTTACTTCAATCATGGACAGGTGGACATTGTTACATCCATGTGAGGTGTAGTGTATTTACTTCAATCATGGACAAATGGACATTGTAAAATCCATGTGAGGTGTAGTCTATTTACTACAATCATGGACAGGTGGACATTGTAAAATCCATGTGAGGTGTAGTGTAAATACTACAATCATGGACAGGTGGACATTGTAAAATCAATGTGAGGTGTAGTGTATATACTACAATCATGGACAGGTGGACATTGTAAAATCCATGTGAGGTGTATTGTATATACTTCAATCATTGACAGGTGGACATTGTAAAATCCATGTGAGGTGTAGTGTATATACTACAATCATGGACAGGTGGACATTGTAAAATCCATGTGAGGTGTACATGTAGTGTATATACTACAATCATGGACAGGTGGACATTATAAAATCCATGTGAGGTGTAGTGTATATACTACAATCATGGACAGGTGGACATTGTAAAATCTGTGTGAGGTGTAGTGTATATACTACAATCATGGACAGGTGGACATTGTAAAATCCATGTGAGGTGTAGTGTATACACTTCAATCATGGACAGGTGGACATTGTAAAATCCATGTGAGGTGTAGTGTATATACTACAAGCATGGACAGGTGGACATTGTAAAATCCACGTGAGGTGTAGTGTATTTACTACAATCATGGACAGGTGGACATTGTAAAATCCATGTGAGGTGTAGTGTATATACTACAATCATGGACAGGTGGACATTGTAAAATCCGTGTGAGGTGTAGTGTATATACTACAAACATGGACAGGTGGACATTGTAAAATCCATGTGAGGTGTAGTGTATATACTTCAATCATGGACAGGTGGACATTGTAAAATCCATGTGAGGTGTAGTCTATTTACTACAATCATGGACAGGTGGACATTGTAAAATCCATGTGAGGTGTAGTGTATTTACTACAATCATGGACAGGTGGACATTGTTACATCCATGTGAGGTGTAGTGTATTTACTTCAATCATGGACAGGTGGACATTGTTACATCCATGTGAGGTGTAGTGTATTTACTTCAATCATGGACAGGTGGACATTATAAAATCCATGTGAGGTGTAGTCTATTTACTACAATCATGGACAGGTGGACATTGTAAAATCCATGTGAGGTGTAGTGTATTTACTACAATCATGGACAGGTGGACACTGTTACATCCATGTGAGGTGTAGTGTATTTACTTCAATCATGGACAGGTGGACATTGTTACATCCATGTGAGGTGTAGTGTATATACTACAATCATGGACAGGTGGACATTGTAAAATTAATGTGAGGTGTAGTGTATATACTACAATCATGGACAGGTGGACATTGAAAAATCCATGTGAGGTGTAGTGTATATACTACAATCATGGACAGGTGGACATTGTAAAATCCATGTGAGGTGTAGTCTATTTACTACAATCATGGACAGGTGGACATTGTAAAATCCATGTGAGGTGTAGTGTATTTACTTCAATCAAGGACAGGTGGACATTGTAAAATCCATGTGAGGTGTAGTGTATATACTACAAACATGGACAGGTGGACATTGTAAAATCCATGTGAGATGTAGTGAATATACTACAATCATGGACAGGTGGACATTGTAAAATCCGTGTGAGGTGTAGTGTATATACTACAAACATGGACAGGTGGACATTGTAAAATCCATGTGAGGTGTAGTGTATTAACTACAAACATGGACAGGTGGAAATTGTAAAATCCATGTCAGATGTAGTGAATATACTACAATCATGGACAGGTGGACATTGTAAAATCCATGTGAGGTGTAGTGTATATACTACAATCATGGACAGGTGGACATTGTAAAATTAATGTGAGGTGTAGTGTATATACTACAATCATGGACAGGTGGACATTGAAAAATCCATGTGAGGTGTAGTGTATATACTACAATCATGGACAGGTGGACATTGTAAAATCCATGTGAGGTGTACATGTAGTGTATATACTACAATCATGGACAGGTGGACATAATAAAATCCATGTGAGGTGTAGTCTATTTACTACAATCATGGACAGGTGGACATTGTAAAATCCATGTGAGGTGTAGTGTATTTTCTACAATCATGGACAGGTGGACATTGTTACATCCATGTGAGGTGTAGTGTATTTACTTAGCTTCAATCATGGACAGGTGGACATTGTTACATCCATGTGAGGTGTAGTGTATTTACTTCAATCATGGACAGGTGGACATTGTAAAATCCATGTGAGGTGTAGTCTATTTACTACAATCATGGACAGGTGGACATTGTAAAATCCATGTGAGGTGTAGTGTATTTACTACAATCATGGACAGGTGGACATTGTAAAATCAATGTGAGGTGTAGTGTATATACTACAATCATGGACAGGTGGACATTGTAAAATCCATGTGAGGTGTAGTGTATATACTTCAATCATGGACAGGTGGACATTGTAAAATCCATGTGAGGTGTAGTGTATATACTACAATCATGGACAGGTGGACATTGTAAAATCCATGTGAGGTGTACATGTAGAGTATATACTACAATCATGGACAGGTGGACATTATAAAATCCATGTGAGGTGTAGTGTATATACTACAATCATGGACAGGTGGACATTGTAAAATCTGTGTGAGGTGTAGTGTATATACTACAATCATGGACAGGTGGACATTGTAAAATCCATGTGAGGTGTAGTGTATACACTTCAATCATGGACAGGTGGACATTGTAAAATCCATGTGAGGTGTAGTGTATATACTACAAGCATGGACAGGTGGACATTGTAAAATCCATGTAAGGTGTAGTGTATTTACTACAATCATGGACAGGTGGACATTGTAAAATCTGTGTGAGGTGTAGTGTATTTACTACAATCATGGACAGGTGGACATTGTAAAATCCATGTGAGGTGAAGAGTATTATTGAAGCACAGGGGCCAATCCAGAAGTTTTGCTCATTCCCAGTCACTACAATTATTGACAGGTGGACAATGTAAAATCCATGTGAGGTGTAGTGTATTATGTAGTAATCATTGTGATAAAGGATATCACAGAATGCACCTTTATGTGGTATTTCTTGATTTCTCTCTATTGTACGTATCTGGTCAATAGTTTTAATGTCTGGTGATAAACCTCCATGTACACATAAAATTGTTTCATCTATTATCTACAATTATACAAAGAAACAAAAAAAATCAATGAAATTCTTAAAGAATTCTCAAATATTCAATTTAATTGACGTAAATACATGTCAATCTAGCAAACTTATTCAGCCATAATTTACAGATTATCCAGTATGTTAGATGGTGTGAAGACTGTGAATACAATTAAATTAAATGCAAACATATGAATTTTACCTCTATTTAAGAGTCTGTAGCTTTGCATAATTTTTATTATATTGTGGTGGCATACATTTCTTAGTTTTTTTTTCAAATATTCTTTTAACATTTTGTGCTGGCATATATGTCTTTATATTTTCTTCACATATTCATTAAAAATAATTTGTTATCAAGACGCAATTTTTACACACAAAAAAAACTGGAAAAGAGAAGGCATTAAATTAGAAACAAATAAAATGGCTCTGTAGAAAAACTTGCATGAGGCTACTCTTAGGTATATAAATATTGAGCCAAATATGACTGTTAAAAGTCCTATTAAAACTCAGGAATGACAAAACAGAAAATTTTCAAAATCAAGAGCAAGTCTACATTTATAAATCTCAACAACAGTGTTAAGTTTGTAGTAATTTGATCCAAGCACACTAGAGCTAGTGCATGCATTTAAAAAATGCCATTTATTCATCTAACGGTCAAGTTACCATAATTCTGGAATGACATATCATTTTTTTTCGAATCAAATGGTGTGTTATATTCACCAAATTCCACAATTATGACAAGTTTTCAATAATCAATCAAAGAAACTAAAGTTATGGTACTACATGTGAAAAATCTACTTAGATTTGATAATTTAAGTTTGTAACTCTGGAATGACAAACCAGAAAATTAAAAAAATTCCTTTTATCAATCCCCAAAAAATAATTAAAGTTTTGAGGAAATCATTCCAGGCATACTGGAGTAAGTGTGCAATATGAGAAAAATTGCCTTAGGCTTAATTAAAACGTTGAAAGTCCTGTCACTCTGGACCAAATAAGCTAAACATTTTCAAAATTAATTTAAAAAAAAGTCTTCAATCAATACTAATTATACGTGAATTGTTGTAAGCAAATTTGAGTTGTTATAGTAAGTGTTGAAGGACAGAAATTGGTATAAACTAATATGTCCTGTCTTCGACGGGCGTATAACAACTAAAAGGAAATTGACCTGATTGAGGCGAAATATTATAAAGGATATGTATTTATATCAGACATGGTTTCAGAATTTTTTTTACATCTATCACAACAGTGTATAAACACTGTATTAAACTTACTGCGGCAACTGTAAGTAGATCAAATACTTTACAACAATATCTCCATGCATTAGCATTACCATACTTTGTCTGGCACTCATCTGTATAACATAAAGAATTAGTCATTAGTTATAAGGTGACATTATTCTTTCAGGGCAGATCAAGAATTTTTTTTGAGAGGGTTAAATAGAAAAAGTATTTGCCAGGTGTGTGCCAATTAATCTTTACATAATTTTTTTTCATAGATTTAAAGAATTCTATTTCTGATATTTACACACAATTTTTATATCCTTTACATATCACCACAAGTGTAATTATTATGACCTACATGATGGGTGCCCCTATCGAAGCAGGAGCTGCTTACTCTTCCACAGCACTGGAGATCACCCACAGTTTTTTGTGGAGTTCATGTTGGTCAGTTTTTAGATTTCTGAGTAATGTTTTATAGACTGTTGTTTGTTTGTGTTCTTTCATTCTTTGCCATGATGTGTCAGTTTTTCTTCAGCTTAAAGAATCTTGAATGTCCCCTTAGTATCTTTTGCTTGATTTTTAAATCAACAGTTGTTTCCTACAGCAAATTCAGTACATTCACATTTAACAGTTACACATTCATTTGTTCCAATAAGACTGCTAAAATAAAACAATTGTTGTTACAGGACCTTCTACATATTATTGTAAAATTGCAAGTAAAAATCTTGAATACTCTTCTGTACTGAGACAACAAGTGCATGAAGTTTTGGGGTCTGGGCTAGGATTCAATTTGCTGAAAAAAAACCAAATCATTATATTTAATAAAACTAAAACAAGAACCATTATTCAATTTAATGAAATTTCTAAACACGGGACCATAATTCCTTTTAATGTATGTGCAATGATGGAAAGTGTAAAATTCCATATGTTAAGCATGAAGTATACATAGGTCATGGGTCTGTGAGATGAAAGATGGGCAAAAGTTGAATTCTACATTACCATAAAATCCATATATCTGTGTAATCTGTCTACTTTCATGATTACCTCTCAGTAGGGTGATTTTGTCTGGCCACCTAAAACATTCAAATTCATTTCTAGTTCTATTTTCAGTATAAAGACGTATTTATTAAGATCAATGTAGTTTATTTTTTCAGATCAGAAAGACTTAAATTTGAATATATTATATATATTTGTCTAAACGTTTCAATATGTTGACCTAGAATAAACATAAAATATTGAAAACCATCACAAATTCAGCAATATAAAAATATTACAGGGAAATCCTAGTGTGTTGTTATGTCAATGTACTAGAAGCATGTGTAAAGCTGTCATTCACACTCACACCATGAGATATTAGACACATATTTTCAAATAAAGACTGAAAACCTTTCTATATTACCCACTGTGGTCATACAAAGCAGACTTACCGTGCCTTTAATGTGAGCAGTAACGTAAAAGTTTCCAAACTGTAATATCCTCGGTCTACAAAATCACCCTAGAATGAAATAGGATTTATCATTACTGATCATGTTGTATAACACTCATTATGAATATACATAAGACAAAATGGAAGAAAATATAAAAGAACTATTGCTATTCTGCCAATGAAAAGTGTCTGAAAAGACTTAATATGAATCTTTCGATGCAGTAATTGTGAGACTTTTTTTAAAGTTTATTCAAGATATTGAAAAATTCTAAGTATCAGCAAACAGGAAGTAGGAGTCAGACAAATTTGAATAAAGAGCTGTGTCATGAAGGCATGATACGCCCGTCGCTTTTTCAAAGATTAAAGTGCAATAACTTCTCAATGTCATATCAAAAATTTTAAAAAACTAAAGGGAGGTTATTTTTATAGATATAAACCAGTCACCAAAGTTTCATGAAAACTGCTCAAAGCACTTCTGAGTTATTGTCAGAAAACTGGTAAATCACCCTTTTTTAATGAATAAAATCCCATAACTCAGAAACGTAAAATCTTAAATTCTAAAAAATCGAAAGGGAGCTCACATAAAAAGATACATGTATAAACAATTCACCAAAGTTTATTGCAAATTGCATGAATTGGTGAAAGTGTTTTTGAGTTATTATCTGAAAACTGGAAAATCCCCCCTTTTTTAATGAATAAAACCCCCATAACTCAGAAACCTAATATCAAAAATTTATTAAAATTGAAATGGAGCTCACATCAATAGATATAAACAATTTACCAAAGTTTCATGCAAATTGGTTTAAGCATTTTTGAGTTATTGTCCGACATGCTGAAGATGAATGGACAATGGTATACCATAATACGTCCCTTAATTGGGCATATATATATGTAACACTCCCAAACGTGTCCATCCCCCCAAACGTGTCCTTCAAGGTTGATATCGCCCAAACGTGTCCGATTTCATAACCCCCAAACGTGTCCAATAATTGTTATTCGCCAAAACGTGTCCACTTTAAAACGCCTGAAGGTCTCAAAACTTTTAGCGCTATTATGTTCTCAGTGACGCCAATAACATTTACGGCAATTTCATGATAGTGGACACGATTGAAGGTGTCAGATTTCGGTTGGATCCTAGATAAGATAAAAGCCGCATTCAAAAGACATAAATCCTGAAGTATTTTGGGCACAATTACCGGAAATTAAAAAAGGAACACAGTTTAAAGAAGTAAATTATTTTGGACTTATAAACTGCGGTAATGCCTTACCATATTAATCATGTATGAGGATATTGCACGGCCGGCTTCCTGCAGAAGTGTTTTTCATTTTTTTCAACAGTTCTGTTTCTTTAAAAGCTCTTGAAATTATAAACTGGTACTCAGGGTTTTTTTTTTTTATAAATTTTGGGTTTCTAGCATTACTTAACAAGAGACATTGTGTTCAGTGGAAAATATTTCATGCATTATCATGCATCAACATATTACAACAAATACTATAGGTAGGTTCTATAATAATAATTTCTGGGACTTTGGGATTGTGCCAGTATTATTCCGGGAATTTGGGATTCGGCCTAAATTTGTACGGTTATAATAGGAATTTGCACTAATCGGGACTCGGAATTAAATAATAATTTTTGGGAGCGGGGAAAGACCGCTTTATTTTTTTCGAGACTTCAGTATGACACTCCTTCATTCCCCCTTATATAATAGAGGCCGTTTGAAATAAAAGTTGGGGAAATTCTAACTGCCACTAGATAATAAGGGCATATGGATAGGGACAAAAATGTTGCCTTGCAGCATACCACCGACGGCATCGTGAAAGCGTTGTTACAAGGATTTTAATGTGCAGAGAGAGGGCATTCTCCCTACACGAGGTATCGGATTTAATATCCACATTATAACATGACATGGCTGCGTACTTTTACATCCCGCACAGCCGAACGGAGGCCCCACTTGGGCACGGGTTATACTGTTAGTTTGATTAAGACTTAAAGGACTATATTTCAATTTACAATGAAATAGTGAAAGGAGTATATGTCAATGAAAGCACAATAACCAAATAACGGGGGACATCTTTGGGAGTTCTGCTCTTTTGTTTTTTTAACTTTTTATAATATGGACACGATTGAGTTTTCAGAGAAAGGAAAAACTTAGGCTTCATATGGACACGTTTGGGCATTTATACAAATGATACGCTTTAGTGCCCTTTTACAACTAGACATATTTTGGAGTTCAGTGACGTCATATGGACACGTTTGGGGGAATAGGACACGTTTCTGAGTGTTACATATATTCTCACAAGTTACAACTCATGAAGTCAATTGGTTCAGTAGTACTTAGGTATAAAGTGACGAAAAAATTAAAGTTCATTTGAAAAATTCTAAGTATCAGTTAACAGAAAGCAGTTATATGACGGATCTGATTATAAGTGCTTACACATTACAACTCATCACTGTCAAGCTGCTGACTAAATATGAAGTCATTTCCTGAGAAAAGTGTGACAACAATATTGGTTGGACAAGCAGACAGACAAGGTGTATGCAATAAAGCACCCCAATCCTAGAGTGGAGGTATAAAAACACAAACAATTCTTTCAAAATTTCTTTGTAATAAGTAAAAACTTTTCCAAATGGTACAGAATGGATGTATATATACATGTATAGTGGGTTCATTCCTGACACAAAATCTTTATGGGCTCTCTTTCGACATGTTCCAGTTGCATTCTTTTTCATATATTTTCAAAAAGCTAAATCTTAGCTAGTAACAATAAGCATGATAAGTATCATGAGTAAGTTACTTTTTCAAAAAAATTACAGTATCTAAATAATTAATCTGGTAATGTTGTGTAGTCTGGTGACTTACCATGAATATATAATTAGTGTCAGGTGCTTGGCCTCCTGTTTTGAACAATTCTATTAAGTCATAAAACTGAAAGAAAATTAAAAAAAATTTGAATTCATCACTGCATAACTTTTTTTTTTACTGTTCTAGCAAATGCATTTGCATATATTTTAAAACTATCAAACTTTTTGCGGTTACTTAAGAATCTATCTGATTAAAATAGAGATTCTTTGTTAATGCTTCACAAACACTCTTTTTGTTGTGAAAAAACTTGTTTCCAGATACTCTGATTTGTCATTAATTCACTCTTCCATAAATTTTGAAGCAGAAATTTTATTGGTTGACATAATAGTTATCAGAACAGAAAGTAGACCAGAGCTTTGTCTGATCCTTGTATTAAAGTGAACTATTCACATAGGGTCTTTACATTAATCAGATTGCTTAAGAAAAATACTCTGAACAGGTTTTGATACATGAACAAAATATGATGTTAATCATCTACCGGACTATGAATGTATCAGTATACGTAATAATCAGGGCAATATCAGAAAATATAATGCTGACAATCAATCTCAACCTACACTGTGGAAGGTCCAGATAAAAGCACTTAAGAAGACTGTTCACTTAACATGATATACTTGTCATGCTTGTGCATGACTTCACCATGAATGTCAACATATACATTTGTAGTAAGGGTGCTAAAACAGGTTGTACACTAAACAAAACAATGTAAAATATCTACCTTGCCACGAATGTCATCACACAGTGACAGGTGCTGATAAAGGCTGAACATTGAGCATTAATATGAAATGGGTGTTACCTAATCATGCCAATTGGTGATAGATATTAAAATTGTATTTTGCGATGAAACAAAATTTTGTAAAATCAGGGAAATGCATGTTTTTTCGGAAAGTTTTCACTTAAGTCTGACAGACTGTCAGGGTCGATTCAAGAAAGTTCAATTATGCGCAACCGGTGTCCAGCATGGAAGAAGTATTCCTCCATTTGTTAGTACATCTACAATTGAGGGATCTTTGATTGTTTGCTAAAATATCTACCTGTCCATGAATGTCACCACACACTGTGACAGGGGACGATACGGGCTGCACATTGGATTCTTCAAGGAGTAACTCACATACCATGTCACATAACCTCTGAAAATGTTTTTATAAAAAAGTCAATTAAATCAACATGATCAAATATTGATCTTAACATAGTTCAGTATTTCTTGTCTTCATAATTTTTTTAATGTTATTAACCATATTAATTAGATGAAAACTCTATAAACATACATTTGTAACAATCCCATACAAATAGATCTAGAGAATCTGTTTATATTAAAAGGCATCACCAAGACCTTTTAAGCCTTACACTGGTGAGTCACATGGGAGAAGATATCTCCTTTTTGTCTGCCACTTTTGTTTTTCTTTGGCTGCCCTTCAATAGCAATAGAACATCACTTTGAATTTCAAACTTTCCTCTCCTTGTTGTTTATTTTAAAGTATTTGTAGGAAAACTCAACATAAAATATATCGTATCTAATCTTTTAACAGACAAAAAAATCTATTATCATAAGCAATGATAAGGCATTCTCAAGACCTTTGTAGGAAACTTGACAAGGTATAAATAACTTTAAACCTTAACTAGAACGTATACCTAAAATCATGAAAATGAAGTAGTTTAACCATGAGATATTTTCTGGGAGCAATTTTTGAAGGATTTGTGCTGTTACTTAACATGCTTAACATCTTTATCATCATGACCATAACATGCAAAGGTTAAATGTCCACATGGTTACTTAAAGGCACTGGGGAGAACACTGATTAGTACCGGTATGTTATCTGCATTTATATCTGAAAATGTCTTTACGTGCATCAAACATGATACATCACATGACAGGAAGGTCTCTTTAAATATTTTTAAAATATTCACTAAAATTACCATTATTTGAAATAAATGTTTAAAGAAAAATTCAATCAATTTCAGTTCACAGTTCATTATTGTTGTTTTAGAAAGTTTCAAATTTTGTTGTATTTAGTATTAAGAAGCTCTACTGTATTGAAATGAATTTTTAAGGAGAAAAAAAACGAATTAAGTTATTTTCTCAATAAAAATTATATTACATTAATTATTTTTTAATATGTATTATAAATCTGAATGTTTTGTAACAGTCCCAGAATCATTATCATGTAAATAAAAGCATATGACAATTGCTCTATATATAAGAGCATATACGAGGAGCATATCCTTCAATCATATGATTCAACTAAGTATAACAATTAAAGAATAACATGAATAAAGCAATATCAACCATGTCAACATCAAAACTGAAATGCTAAAAATAACTCTGACGAATCATGCCTTGACTTTATTTTTTTTGCATTTTAACTGTTACAATCTTTTGAAATTGTTTAAATTCTTCAATCGTCATACTTTAAGGTCATTTTCGGGCAAGTAATTGCAATCTTTTGCTATTTCAATCCACTTTTCAATGTCAGACATTTTGTCGTTTTCCCTGTGTCTGGTACCCGGTAAAGAACTTTTTAACCCAGTCAGAATTTCTATAATAAAGTGTTTATTTCATGTTCAGTTTTTTGTTAAGGAAAATTACTTTGACCTATTTTCTGATCATTTTAAGTCAGTGAAATATCGATACCCATTAATATTTTTTATTTCTAAAGTTTATCTTATAATTATGTTTTCACTTTATATAAAATATTGCCACCCATTTTCTCTTATAAATGAACACGTTACAGTAAATAGAAGATAAGGGTGAGTTTTAATATCTACCTTTGATATCCCATAGGGAAAGATGAAAATGGGCTACTCACGTTATACTTTAGAATACAACTTCATTCCCTGTTTATAGTATCCCAGGGCAGGATGGAAAGAGATTCTATTATACATTGCAGGTTGCTGAATATCAAAATGAGACATAGAACTATACCCATGGTATTCAAGAGCATTATTATGTTCATGATTTCCAGAACTACTGCTCCTGTGGTGGAAGATTGAAAGGTACAACTTGAAATTAAAGGATTATGTATTTGCATTTGTTACTTCCCCCCAAAACGTTCACCTACTGCCTTTGGGTCTGTTGATAATTGGCTGACTTGTTATAACTGTAGTAATAAGATGATTATTGATGAACATAATTCTACGGCTCACGAAGTGTGAATAAGCCTTTTATAATTTTCTTAAAGGTTATTTATTATCCGAGAAATCGACGACTAAGAAAAACAGAGAAAAGCAATAAATAAATATATATTTTGAACGGAAATAATATTTTAAAAAGTTTGTTAAGGAATGAATAACAATAATCCTTTATAGCCACGGTGAAAATTAAGGTAATTTAATTGAGAAATGGACATGAATTAAAGATTAGATAGTTTTGATTAGAATAATTTATAAAAAAAAATAAAGGTTAAATTTTGATACCTAAAACATGTACAAAAGAAGCTAAAAAATGTACATAAAAAAAGATTACGAAAAAAATATAATAAAAGAAATTACCAGTCACAATAGAGTTATAGGCGAAATTAAACTGTTAAAAATGAAACAAAATACAAAAAATGTATAAAACATACTAGTTAACAAACGGTCGAATCCTTTGGTTTACGACTTGTCGGAATCCGTACCGGACCTTTCTTGAAATAGGAACAAGCTCAAAACTGTTTAGTTTCAGTCAACAAATTTTATGTTAGTAGAGATCCAGGTTCCGCACATTCAAATCTGCTCCGTAACCCAGTTTAGATTGTAGAAAGTATTAACGTATTCGTCCATATTCACTAGATGTCATGTGCATTGTCCAGTCTTTTTGAATTCTAGGGAGAGGAACTAACTATTAAAGGATGTAAACAGGAATAATAACTTCACAAGTTGGTGCCTTTCGTATGTCAGTTGAAAATTCTTTTTTTTTTGCGGTTTGCAAGAACTTTCAATGATAATTAATTTAACTGAGTTTAGATGAAATGTACTTTCGTGTTTCATTTGTGGGACAGGATGCATTATACTTCACAAAGTAAAATAGTTAAAACCTTATATCTTTTATACTTTGTCCTTATTTCACCCTTTTCTCATGTAAACAATGTACAGTACGTAGCTGTAAAGTGAAAATACATAAAAAGTGTTTAATAAACTTGTTATACTGGTAACATTTGAACTACAGCCGTAAGTCAGTACACCATCGCAGAAAAAAAATCTGTGGCATAATTCCGTCGCAATTTTTATCTCTCACAGAAACTACAATCGCATATCACACAGCCTTTTTTGTCGTATCAAGCTTTATTTAGCTACGCAATACACCGTGCATGCGATGCCTCGGTACCAAGACAACTCGATCGTTCATAAGTTCCTTTTTACAGCTATATTTAGACAAAATGTTCCTGCAGTGCCTCTTTTAATCACGTAGTCTATACATATCTTTGGTAGCAACATTAATCTGCACCTGGTTAAGTTTTCAAATGCATCTATTTAATATTAACTTGCAGTATACGCTAACATTTAAATTTTGTTATATTTTACTTTGTTAATCTATTGTTATATATGAACCAATACTTGTTTCATGCATATAAATATTCACTGACGGACAAAAAGAAATTTTAATTAATTAATTTCATTCTATTAACACATATGGCAAAATTTGGGGTAATTTTCTAATTTGCATAGCGGCCATTTTGCCTTATCATAACGGCAGCCATTACAATAGGATTATATAAGCCCTTTTAATAAAAATGACAATATGCAAATACCTATGTCGAATGAACAATTTGTTCGCATATAGGTGAATTGTACATGTTTTTAGGCTCCTGTCCGTGTACAAATGGACATTGTCTACTCTGAAATCTTTCGGCCTTTTTAGTTTAAAAATCGGAAGCGTAACCATTGTGTAATTGCTATATAAGATCAAATGAAATGACGTAAAATCGTAAAATAGCAAGATTCAAAACAGAAATACACATGCAAGAAGATATTGTTTGTATAACACCAATTACAACCAATGATTTGCAGGAATAAAATTTATTAGTTTTTTTATCTACCTTTGAAGCATCAAAAAGTAAAGATAATGGAACAGGAAAGAATAGGAAAGATTTGCATGGCAACAACAGAGGCGGAAGATACAAAAGGGATATTCATAATCAAACTCATAAGTGGAAGACAAACTGACAACGCTATGGCAAAAAAAGAAATAAAAACGACGAGAAGACACAAACAACATTCAACAGAACACAATATAAAAAACAGAAGACTGATCAACACAGGTTAAACCCCACTTAAACTCGCTGGTGATCTTAAATGCTCCAGAAGGGTAAGCAGATCCTGCTCCACATGTCACACCGTTCGTTTGCTCATGTAAGTACAAATTCGTTGAAAAGTCTCATTCGGTACATGTTGTCACATTCTAAAGCATAAGCACGTGTTACATTTGCATTTTCAGTAAATCTGGATGTCCAACCAGAACGTGCATTCTAAAGACCAAATTGCGAATCAACAACAGCAGTGTTAAGTCCATCCTGCTGTATGATTCATAAAGCTGGCGTGTTTTTGACTTTTAAGTGAGTGACCATCAAAAAAAAGAGACATTCCATACAAGCTGGTTAAGAAGGATCAATATAATATTCTACCATTTGACCAAACAAGATCAGCAACCAAAACCTGTTTGGGGATATTTAATGCTAAGAACATTACGACAACGACCAAACAGTTTCTGTCCTCTTTTTCTCGATGGCCACTTCACCAAATGTGTTCTTTCCATGTGCAACCTGAGATAACCCCTCTCTTCCCTCCCCCCCCCCCCATTTTCCCCAAGTGTTTGGTGGGGTCGAATCGGATAAATAAGGTAAGATTAGACGTTATTGTGTATTTATACAGCCCGCACAGTCAAACGGACACCCCTCTTAAGCATGGGTTTTACAGCCGCATGTGAGAAGTCAAGGAATGACCATACATTTGTGATTGATGTACCTATATAGTCAATGATCACATGGATAACAAAAAGCTCTCGTAAATTGAGTGTTCATATACTGAAAAAGGTGCAGTCAGCCAAGATAGAATTTAACTGTTCGCAATGAATGTAAATGAATTCACAACATTTAAATTAAAGTTAATCATCTTAATTAATTGTAGATAAAAATGATGATGTCGCCGATTTAAAGTTTACCTTTACCGTGTGATCTTCGGTTACATTTCCTTTTTATATTTTGATGTTGTTTAAATAAAATTCGGAAGCGTTACAGATGTATATATAATTATTTCCGGCCTTGTTCATCGTGTTCATCATTTCATGTCATTCTAATTTTTAAAGTAACGTCGTTTGGAGAAGAACGCATGAAAGTTCTTTCAGTCGCAGTATATTTAAGTTATATTTTTAACTAAACGCGAGCATGTTCACTGTAGTGCTAAGGTTGTGATTTTTGTTAAAAAACAAGGGTGTTAGAAGTCTCAACATATGCTTTTGATCCACACATCTACTAAATATAGAAAAAACTTTGATGGTTATTTTTCACAAAACTTATATTTGAGCATACATTTGAGATTTAGATGTGGAATTACTGGTTGAAATATGCTTGTATAAAATATGCTCGACCGTAGAGGTGAAGCTATCAGTTTTTTTTATCGTTTGAATTCTTTATTATAACTGATGAGGTTGGACCAAGTTGAGATAGTATATTATATGAGCGAGATAGCAGGAGTGTAAGTAGAACTTGAAGAAATTAATGTCCGTCATATTATAACACAAAGAGAAAATTAAGATAATTTAATATTAATCGAACAAAGAAATCTCACAAAAAAAACACAGGTAAAGGCGGGAGCGACGGGACAAGAAAATGCAAACGACTACATTTATGACCACGATGACAGAATCAAGCTGAGGAATCAAGTGCTCTGAATGTTGGACGTTTACGTATAACATTTATAAACGTTAAAGTAGAGTAATTAGAAAGACAGGAATACTCTGGTGCACTGTGGGATACATGCTCCTACTTTTTTCCCAGTTTTTTTTTCTTTAATGGTTCTTGAGACAATATCGTTTATTATACACGTGTGCCGCTCGAGCTCTCACTGACTCTTAAAAATTTTGATAAATTATATATATACGTTAGGATAAAGAAAAATGGATTAAAAATAAAATCTGTTAACATTTCCTGGATTTTGTAAATGGACTTCCATGAGAACAATATGATTGCAGATTATTGGTGATAATACCGACAAATGTGAAATGTTTATTTATAGACCTTTACCACAACAAGGAAATTAAATATAGGTTCTTATTAATACCGGAACTGTGTAGTCAGCCACTAGTTACTAATATTTTGATTGAATATCATTCACGAAAATGGGTAAGTTGTGAAAGTCTGTTACCAGTAACCTGGGATTTCCACATTTTGTGATCAAATTAATTTATAACCTACTTATATTGTTGAACGTAGTTTTTTGTCGAGTAAAATAATAGATCAAATTTAAATGACACGAATCTGTTCAAAAAAGGTGTAAATTAACATATCATCATAAATGTTTTCTAGATATATTCAAATCACCATGAGAACTGTAATGAGGAAACAATACAAAGAAAAACTGTGCTCGGGATAAAACTTTCGATGACCTAATTCCTAAAACGAAACTAACTTTGTCACTTCTTGTTAGTATTGGATTTTAAATTGATTTGATAAAACTTCTAGAATATTCTTTGTACAGCAGCAATTGTTTTACATGTTTTAGTTTCGATTACACGATTACAAAATATAACTACAACAGAAGAAGGGGAAATATTGTCGTTTTGAATACACATTCTAGACCAAACACACATTCAAACGATACGTATACGGTATATATTATCGTCAGGTTTGAGAAAATTGACAGTTATTTAATTTACTCTTTAGTTTAAATTTGAATTTTTTTATCTAGTTTAATATTTTTTTAGGTGTTTATTTATTTCATTAAATCTCATAAATTTCATTTTATTGCATTTTATTTCATTGGGATATGGGTTTTAGAACTGTGTTATTTATTACTTTGTATTTACTCCCGTGAACTTAAAAATAACCCGTCGCCACCCGTAATTTTAAACAATGTCTCTTGCAAACATAAACTTCAAACCCCGAAAAAAAATGGTCGAAGCGTTGCTTGGATGCACGCAGACATCATACGTGTGAAATTTTTTTTTTTTTTTTAATACACATAAATTCCGAAAGCTGCTGTTAGCGTCCTATAGGGCTCCCCTTTCCCCTTTTTTTTGCTGTAATTGTTTAGTAAACATTCTTTAAGTTTTAACTTATTTTCACTTATTTAATGGGCCATACAATATATTACAATAACGGTAGTGATGTCCCTCTATTCTTATTTTCCATCAAACATTCCTGATTCAGAACATCAATGAAAATAAAATTAGTTTTTATAGTGTTTCGCTACAAAAGTGATACAAATAATTGTTTATCAAATACGTAATATACTTAGTACTTCAATAAAGACTAGGATTATTATATTTGATTGTAGAATGATTCACCTGTCTAATGGCCTTCGTCAATGATGACCAGTTTACAAAACGATTTCTTCAGAATGAAATTACTGCCTCTGCATATGAAGCTGCTCAGAGACCTTTTACCGAAAGTATCAGGAGAAATCCTGATGCTGCTTTGGCATTAAAACTTCAAAAAAGAGAAGTGCAGACACCATTACCTCCAATTATTGACGAAGACAGTGAACTCATTGCATTGCAGCTGCAAGAACAAGATCATCTTGAGCAAGAGCTCCACGATGCAGAGGTTGCCCAAAGAATAGCGGACGGATGGCAAAGGCAAAATGAGGATGGACAAGTTCCCCATGCAAATGAGGGTGGAAGAGTTCCCCGCCTAAATGACGGTGGACGTGTTCCCCGGCTAAATGAGGCATTAAACAGCATGCATAGAACACGACCAAGCAATGAGGTAGGGAACAGCTAACTTGAGCACTAATTACTTCATTTTATGACAGAAGTTGTAATGTATGGTAGAGATACGCATGTTGACGCACGAAAAGTACATTTTCATTTAAATTTTGGCAAATAAAAGTTTATAAATCGGATGCTAGTGCTTTCACTTTTAAGTTATTTTATAGAAAATTCAAATTCCGCCTCAGATATAAACAATTGTATGTTGATAATGAATAGGACATTTTATAAAAACAGATACTTTAAAAAATCGTTCCTGATATTTGTTAGAAAAAATATCCCTACATTTGGTATTTCTCACCATAAAATCTATTGAATGTCATAAATAGGACTAAAACATTAAAATTTATACACGTATATTTAAACTTGGGAAGGTTCTCACATCGTTCAACAGCATTAGCTACAGGCGTGATTTACTAACTAATTCAGTTAAAATGGTCGTTCTTCCAATGGTCTAAATTTTTAAATGCTTATTCGCCTTTCACATGTAATAAGTGCAGCTTTCAATTATGAGACTTCATGAAACCTATTAGGTGTGTTGTTCAATTAAGTGGTTATCCTGTGGACATGTGAACTGCGCAAGTTTTATTTTAATCTATTTTGTATCACTTTTACGACATATGGTTTAAAAAGGGGGCGGGGGCGCAAGTGAAACTGGTTTAACCCGGCACATTTTGTGTCTGTACCAAATCATGCTCCTTTTGTTGTTTGTTTTGTTTGTAAGTCTAGGTATTTGGAGGAGTCGATTGTAGGTGGTTGGTGTGGTCTGTGGTACTGTATAATATTTTGGGTGATTCCATTTATCTTTTTCACTTATTATTGATTAGTGCCATGGTTCAATAAAAATCGGCCGAAGATTGCATATTTCTATAGGAATACTTTCTGTTGAATTCTCCATATTCCATAGTGATTCACCTAAAAGTTTAAACTTGAAACGTTTCATAGACGAAACTCGCAGAGTTATACGTATCTAAACTAGACTTTTTTTTATTTCAGCAAGCGAAAACATAGAAGTAGCAAAAATTTGAAATTCATGGATATTCTTTATATCTATTTCTTCGCATTATACCAGTTAGATCTTTGAATTTGTATGAGTTTGAACAATAATTGAAGATAAATTCCTGTGTGTACTTTTGGATTCTGACAATATGAAATGGTACTTCTGAATTTTTATTATGTATTGTTTTATTTTAAATAAAAAATGATGATAAGGAAGAACTCTCAAATCAACCTTTCATTGGAAGTTAACCTTTGCATACTGTCTTTCAGATTCATTCATTTTGATTCAAGACGCATATCAGATATCAAACAATATGTGCATGATTTGTCAAAATTGTTTTCAACAGCAGAATGTAGGCTAATAAAAATATCGCTTATGTTAAACGGAAACATGTCTAAACCGAACCCGATCGAAACTGGAGCCCTGTCAAACTGACTCCACCAAATGTTCATCAGTAAATTAATCAATGGAAACCGAACCGCTTTTGAAACCGTACCAAATCTTCAGGTTCAATATGATTCGGTTTGGTCTGGTTCCATTTCATGTTTATATGAGATGACCCAATATGTAAATGATGATAATTGAATACTATTATATTGTTTAACAGATGAACTTCAGTAGAACGGTTCGTGCGCCATCTATGATGGGAACACTTCCATCTAGTTCAGGGTTACATGTGTTCGGTCCCGGCACATTAATAGACAGCAGCTCAGACGACACAGGTATATGATACAGAATATTATGCAGTACAGGAAAAATTTAATCAATTTTGTTTAAAAGATTTGTTAACAACGAAAAATAAAAATAATCCAAAGGGGACAATAAAAGTTGTAAAGTCGCAGAAGGGCACAATTTGATTAAAAATTTAGATCTATATATAGTCTCGCCTACTCATCGAAGTTATATCACAATTAGCATACGCATAGATGTAGTTCTAATTAGATAGCAAATGAACAGATACAACAATCATCAACTCAAAAAAACAGCCAACAAAACACAATATGCAGAAAACTAAAGATTGGCCAACGCAACTGACCCGTCAAAAATTAAGATGCTTCAGAATGCAAATTAATATGAAGCTACTTTACCGAAGTCATTAGCAAAACACAGACATCGGATAGACAAGACAATAGTATATTTTTGGCATTCGAGAACTCAATATATGAGGGGATGACACGCTTTGAGTATTCGGGATATAGTCGGTAAACAAGTGGGGATGTGATTAAGGGGGGGGGGGGGGGGGGGGATAGGAACTGGGAAAAGAAGGAAAAAAGTGGGATATGGAAAAAAAATCGGGATTTGGGTAATGATCACTCCTGTGTCACCACCCTCATTAATGTTTCAATCAGAATATCAACAAAAAACTGAGCGATAATACTTTATGATATTATTTATTCCAACCTATTTAGTAGGACCCGATAATTTCAAGAACTTTTACAGATCAAGCCTAATTTTGAGTCGCCTTTGTTAATATTCGATTGTTGCTTATTATTTATATTTCCCCCTAATCTTGACCTACATGTAAGACGTAAATGATCTTATAGTAATCAGTCCGTCCTCCTGTCTTTAATCTCTCCTTGTACATACTTTGTTATGGTTTTAAGTGTTATGTTAAATTATGTCATTAGTTTTATTGTTTATGCATGCTATGATGCGTTACAGATTAATGCGAGCTTGAGTTTTATTTTGAACACAATTGACAGCGTATTAAAATTAATTCTTTGAATTACTTATAGTTTTACAGCTGTTAAATTATTGCTGTGATCACAATATTTCTAGTTAATAATCTTCTTCTATTTTGGGCGGATAATTGAACATCTTCAACCCTAGATTAAAGCCATACTTCATTTCTGCTTTGTTGGTAACCATTTTAGCATTTTATAAAATGTTTTTCCCCCAAGAAAATAAGTTTTATACATTTATAGAAGTAGACGGAGAGCCCTCCATACTTCCTAGACCAAGACCTAGACTACAACACCATAGAAGAGGACCGGATCAGAACAGATTTCAAAGGAATACTAGGGCAGATGAAAACGGACAGAGACCTGGCCTACAGCCTTTGCCAGGCATGTTTCGGTTTAGAGAAAATAGAGATGATATACCAGATCGCGAACAAGAACAGCGACACGACATAGTGCAACCCCCAATTTACAGGAATGTACGTATAGGTCAAGGCGACGGAGCTCATTTATTATAGAATAGCTTACTTAAATAATGATTGAAACATAAAAGTTTTTAAAAGTTCTGAGATATCTTATATATAAAATCAGGCTTTTTCAAACTGATGTTTATAGTTAATGTTGTGCTGTTATACTACTGTCCCAGGTTAGGGGAGGGTTGAACGCTCACAACCATTTTTAACACATCAACATATATACTTGTCTGTCCAGTCAGGAGCATAATTCAGTGGTTGTCGTTAATTGATGTCTGCCATATTTATTTTTCGTTTATTGTTTTTAGTATAAATTAAGTCGTAGGTTTTCTCTATTGAACTGTGTCACAGTTTGTCATATTGGGACCCTTAATTGTTTCACTACACGGTTTTTCGTTTTGCTCATTGTAGGACGCCGTTAAGTGCCATATAAGGACTTGCATCCTCTTCATTGGGTGTCTTGTGATAGTTGTGTCATTAGCAATTATAACCGGTGCATTACATTTGCGAGCATTACCATTACAATTGCGCGCATAAATCATTACGTTTGCGCGCATCTTTTTGGTTACATTTGCACGCCTTTTTTTACAGGTAAACTCAGGTAAACATAGGTATATTATATCTATATATTTATTCAACTAATATTTTTTTTAGCAGGATAAGTCCGTTTTATTGTGCACAATCACTTAGTCCTGAAAAATATATACAGACAAAAATGTAAAAACATTAAATCTAAAGGTTAAAAGTACCGATTTTACATGTAACTTGCACAAATATACATTCATGTGCTGAATAAAATTGCTCATTGTAGTGAGCATGGAATGATTCCGGGTCGTTTGTAGTACATCTGGATTCTACTGATGGTAGTGATGCCCAAAGACATAAGGGAAATAGGGAAAATACCTTTGCAATTATTTACGGTGCATCGCTATGAAATATATCATGATTTAAGTGTTCTGTCGATACGGAAACTAAATCCATCTTACCCTTATGATTTTTTTCACCGATTAGTTTCTGACAAACGAAACTCCATGTGTGTGCCTTGACGCATTTTTTCAAACTGACTTAAATTGTTTAAAGCAATCACTATTCGGTAAAATTATGAGACAGAATATTATTTACTCTGAAATATTCGCAATTAAATAAATTATTTGTCTTAAGCTATAACGGATTTCTCATGATCACTGTATATTTTTTTATAATTCAATATGAAAAGTATATAATATTAATTTACAAATATGTTCAAAATTCATAATAACTAAGGTCATTTTTATCATGAATTATCTGTATTTTAACTGCTTTATCTGTAAAATGAATGCGCGCAAATGTATTCAAAAGCTGCACGCAAACGTAAAAAATTATAGTCCCTAAATGATCGCAAATGTAATACGCCCGTTATAACACATCTCCTTATTTTTTATTTTGGTTATTTTGTGATATTTGTGAATACTGTACTGAATTAAACTGTTCACTCATTCCAGTTACTTTAACTTATCGGAAACTTCACTTTATATGACACTGTCGAACATAATAATTATGTCTTTGGATTTAAGAGATTGCATGATTTAATTTACATGTTTATAGATATAAGAAGATGTGGTATGAGTGCCAATGAGACAACTCTCCATCCAAGTCAAAATTTATAAAAGTAAACCTTTATAGGTCAAAGTACGGTCTTCAACACGGAGCCTTGGCTCACACCGAACAGTAAGCTATAAAGGGCCCCAAAAATTACTAGTGTAAAACCATTCAAACGGGAAAACCAACGGTCTCATCTATAAAAAAACGAGAAACACTTATGAACCACATCAACAAACGACAACTACTGAACATCAGATTCCTGACTTAGGACAGGTGCAAACAAATGCAGCGGGTTTAAACGTTTTAATGGTACCAAACCTTCACCCTTTTTCTGAAACAATAGTGTAACATCACAACATAGAAAGACACACTATAAAATATCAACTGAAATAGCTTAACCCTTATGGAACTGAATTGTTTGCCGCAAACTTGCAGCAGACTTGCAGCAAGCTTGCGGCAAACAAAAAGTTTGCAGGAACAGAGAAAATAGTGTTTGCAGATGTTTGCCGCTAGCTGCAAACTTCCGGCAAACATTGCAGCTTTTTGCTGCAAGCTTGCGGCAAGTTTGCAAAAACATCAATGTTTGCCATAAGATTGCCAGAAAGTTAAGATAATAAATAATCAGTTTGCTGCAAGATTGCAGAAAACTTTGACGATTATATATGTTTGCCGCAAGATTGCAGAAAACTTTGACCATTCTATATGTTTGCCAGAACATTGCAAGAATTACACAATATTGACTGGGCATGCCTAGTTGGCACTTCCTGGAAGCTAACAATTTGAAATTGTGTCTAGGTCATGTTGATTGTGTTTGGAAAATGCATTTCACATATAAGAGATCAAGGAGTCATTTTGGTTCAATAATATAGGATATTCAATAGGTAACTTTGTAAGTACAAATAATTCATAGAACTGCATTTGATAAAATAATTTATGTCACCATCATACATAATTAAGTAAGCAAATATATATATATATATATGTGTGTGTTTGAAAAACTTTAGCTATTATAAGTTTGAATTTTGTAACTGATGTCACTAACTGTATCATGTTTATTAAAATTAAGTTCAATTCTGTAATGCAATTATTACCTAGCTTTATACCCAATACACATTGGGGATTTATCCTTTTTCATTTCTTAATACAGGTATATGATGTCATTTGAGAATAACCCCTGCCCCCTTTTTCAAAACTCAAATGCATGTATGTATTTCCTTAAATCTTTAAGTTTGCAAGAATTCTTTCAATGACTGTTTGTATACAGGCAGGAATTCTTTTCAAAATGTTGCTGTGTAATTTGAAAGAGATAAATTGAATGTGTCTACACACATGACATTGGTATATGTGTAGTTCCTGCAAGTTTGCAACAAACAATTGCCGCAAGCTTGCAGCAAACAATTGCCGCAAGCTTGCGGCAAATCTAATTTGCATAATTATGTTTGCAGCAAGCTTGCCGCAACCTTCATTTGCATGGTAAAATGGTTGCGGCAAGTTTGCAGCAAATGTTTGCTGCAAGCTTGCGGCAATGTTTGCTGCAAACTTGCGGCAAATGTTTGCCGCAGGGCTTATTTTTCGGTAAGGGAACTCAATCAAAGGACATAATTATTAACACCTGAGTGAACATACACTGAACAAATAAATTTGACCTATGATACAATGCAAATGCACAGTACATTTTAATGATGCAGAAAAAAAGCAAGAAAAGAAAACAGAATGTATCACTGACTCCGTTATATACAAGAAATCTAACCGAAAACTGAAAAGCATAAACAAAACAAAACTTTTCGAAAGAAAATCATTCTGTTGCTTAGAAGCCACAGTCTTTTATTATCGCCTTTAGTAAGTCTTAGAACATTGAAAACCCTAAACATAAAAAACAAACGTGTAGCAAATGAAAAAATAAGATAATCTTGTTGTATCTCGATTGTTTTGAAATTAATTCGACAATACTAAACTATTAATAGCAACGATTTTTTTTATTTGAAAGATTCTTTTTTCTTTATTATAGCCGTACAATCCATTAGCAAGGTTAATGAATTATGGTGGTTATCACAGGAATCCCATCCAGAACCGCAATAACAGGATTCCTTTTAGGAGTGATGATATAGATGTTGATGATTATGAGGTACATACACAAATATGAAACAGACTTGTAGGTTAACACTGAATACCTGAAAAAATAATTTTAGTATTCTTTTTAATGACTCTTCGATACTCTTTAGTGGTATGATTTGTGTACAAGTTTTATCAACAGTCTACTGCTTGTCCTTATAATATGGTGACCTATAGTTGTTAATTTCTGTGTCATTTAGCCTCTTGTGGAGAGTCGTCTCATTGGCAATCACACCACATTTTTTTATTTTTATATTCTATTGAACGAACAGTATGAACATGTATACATGTACTCTGTATAATGCTTGCAAATTTATCGTCTCCCTGGAAACGGTATGTAGTTGTCAAACGCAACACAGCTAGTCGACAGACTTAATTCTGGCCTATTTCGTACTTCGAAGAAATATTAGCTTTATGATAGACCTGCATAAAGGTTGACGTAGTTTTTGCTCTTTAAACCGAATATCTTATACTTACAATGCATAAGGTATTATATAAATAACACATAGCTGAGAGGGTGATAGAGCAGATTGTTACCCCGAGAAAACATTGTCAACTGAGGAGAAGCGAGGGGTAACAATCTGCTCTATCACCCTCTCAGATATGTGTAATTTAATTCATTCTACTGAATGTTCTGATATAACTTTCTATTAAATTCAAAGTTATAAAGTATGACGTCTTGTACATAACAATCATCCGTATTTATTAAAGCGCACAGTTGAGCAAGCGTCTCCGTGAAGGGTAATCGAGTATTTGCCACGGGATAGAGTGAATTGTCTTCCTCGTATTAACCAATCAAAATCTAACATTATGACATGAAGTATAATATATAAAATTAAAACCTTTCTGTATAAGGATTTGGCTTTTAAGTGTAAGCATGTGGAATAAATGAATTTACTGTACAATATCCTTGATTAATTGGTAAAAAACAACTAGCCTCACAGCATATGAAGTACCAGCTGTTTTTTATACTTATTCATAGTTTATCTGCCCACTTTTATGTCCAAGCCAACCACAGACGGGTTGAAGAAGTCTAATCTTGGGAGTTAAATATTATATTTTTTCAATTGACATTTACAGGCCTTATGGGAGTTACAAGAAAGAAATGGCGATGTGCGTAGTAAAGGACTAAAAGCAGAAGAAATAGGACGAATACCTTGTCACAAATTCAAATCTACTCCAGGACTATATAAAACTCTTAAAAGTGATAAAAATTCATGTAGTATATGCCTAAATGAATACAAAGATGGAGAAAGTATAAAAACGTTGCCGTGTTTTCATTCTTATCATAAAACATGCGTAGATAAATGGTTAATGGTGAGTAAACTTTGATATGTCTTAAAAGTTTTAAACTGTAATTCTAAAAATAGTACATAAGGTGTTTTTAAGGTGTAAAACACTAAAACAAAATGTACAGACGTTTAATCCTTCATAATTGACACAAGGAGGTGAAACTCTTAATCGACAGTATGTGATAGTTCGCAAAAATATAAGACAAGAGATGATTTATTTTCATTTTTATGTAGTAACGTACTAGCAAAATATTTATATGGAGTTCAAGTGTACATTGTATATTACCCAGCTGATACAATATTTTAGAGCTTACTTTTCTGATCGCGGAATTTTCTTTCTTCATAGACTCGTAGTTCCCGCTTACAAGATAGTCACTGAACCAAATGTTTTAGCCGGTCATCACTAGTAATACTTTACACACGCTTTATTGACTTGCTTGATTGCTATGGAATATCTGTGTCCAGATGACCACAGATATGTTCCATATATTTAGTAAAAGCCACGATTTGGCTTCCACGTATTAGCAACAATCTGTACTAAGTCAAGAATATGACAGTTGTTTTTCACTCGTTCCGTTGGTTGATAACGTTTTTGTCAGTTTTATGGACTTCCCCTTTTTAAATTTACCTTGGAGTTCGGTATTTTAATGAATTTGCACTAAAGTTTAATTACGAATTGAATGCTTCTTTTTGTAAATTTATTGGGTTGTAAAAGCGTTGACAAGTACATTTTCTAAAAATGTGCGCACGGTCAACGCTTTTACAACCCCATAAAATTACTAAAAGAAGCATTCATTACTTATTAATTTTTTTGCTAAAATCAGGAAAACACGATTTCTATCAAGCTTTTCTTTTATTTACCTGTGCACTTTATTGTGGAAGCTCGTGTCATCATGAATGTTACATTTCATTTTGAAATGAATGTTGATTTCAGAATGACGCGAGATTAATTGCTGTTAGCCAATCAAAATAACGTATTATAATGAAACATACATGTAATGTAAAGTATCATGTCATGAGCAACGCGACTGGTGCTCTTTATAGAATAGGAACTGCTTACCAGTGGCGAAGCATGCCTTCTGTTATTACCGAGGCAGGGGATTTGGGGGGCGCAGGCCCCCAGAAGCTGTAGAGGTTTTGAAATTTGAACAAGAAGATCAGTCTATTAAAAAATAGCAGTTGTTTTATTTTACTTCATCATAATAATGTTAATATGCCTTACATTAGTTATACTACAGATGTTTTAGTTGATTACTGGTACCTACATCATTTTGAATGTTCAGATGAATACAAAAATGTTATCAAAACATTTACCACTTTTTCAAATTGAATCCTTTCAGTGAACTTCCCAGATTTTAAATTCTTTACGATTAAAAGGAGATTGGTATGGGGTATATTTTAATGACACAGCAAGTCAACAATACAGCTGTGATCCACCAAAAAACCATGTCAGCTGACTTACAGAATCAAACAAATTCCGGATCTCAGCTAGCGCTATACAAGTAAACGCAACAAGACGATTCAAAACGTGCGCTCTGCAATGCTGATAATATGCTCTTGGTTCAAAGTCAATGAAACACTGTGTACTAGTTGAAGTACTACACGTAGGGGAAAATGTCAACACACAGCGATATTTCAATTTTAAACGTAATCGGTTATATTTGAGGGTTTGAATGGGGGTCTTCAAATATTTATTTTTTAATTCTTTTTGTCCATAATTTGATTTTCCTTTCTTTTATATTTAGCACCATTTATAATATCCATTCTGTTAACTTGTTTGAATTAATTACAGGGCATTTTTCTGTATTCTGTAAACCTCACCAGACCCTCATATACTAGAAATTATTCTCACACAAAATTAATAATTTACCTGAATGTTCAAGTTATTCGATCGGGGAAGGCTCGTGAGTTTGATCATCATCTATACTACTGATTTTGATTGGGGTAGCATTATATAAATTTGATCGGTTCAATTGTGTCGATTTCTTTGACTCCGACATTTTATGATTAGTGAAAACTACCGCAAAGGGATCGGGATTTCCAATTAGAGGAGGGAAATGTTTCCATAAGTCTTGAACTCGCAAAGGGTATGAATCAATCACGGCGACAAGACAATACAAGTCGGTCTGCATTTTGTGAAAATTGTTAAAAAGATTATAAAGAAAAGTTTTTTATTTATTATTTTTTCATATATTGTTTTTTACCGAGGCAACTGCCTCGGTTGCCTCAACGTAAGCTACGCCAATGCTTACCCTTCAGGAGCATGTTGCTCAATCTTTACTTTTCTAATTTGTATTTTTTGGCAGACATTCGTGTCTTCTCGACTTTTTTCTTTTCGACTTATGATCCATTGATTTTCCTCTTGATACCTTTTTTTTTGACAAACTTACAAAACTCTTTAACTGATAATGTTTTTAAAAGTGCTATCTTGTAAGTAGTGTAAGAACTTCCCGTAAGTTAGTCGATGACTACGGCTACATCAGAATGATCATAATTTCAGAGAATGCAGAATTACATGTTAAGTAAAAGCTAATAATTGTACATGTAATCATGTATATTGATTAAGGAGAGTTCAGATATATGTGAGAATATTTGCGCACCCAATTATTATTCCCCTACCGACGAAGTCGAAGGGGACTTTAGGTTTGCACTCCGTCCGTCTGTCCGTCTGTCCATCTGTCCATCTGTCCGTCTGTCCATCCGTCAGTCCGTCAAATCAGCTTTCCACACTTTTTTTGTTCGTTCTTGAAGATATTGATTTGATATTTGGTATATAGTTTTATCATGACAAGTTATAGATCAAGTTCTAATTTTGTTCCTGTCTGATGATTTAGTCCAGAGTTATGGACCATAACTCTGGACCATATCTAATGTAAGAGTACTATGTTAAACCATATTTCTGTACAAAGGGAGATAACTCATTTTTTAAAAGAGTTTCTTTGTTAAATTATTTGAAGAATTTTTTGGCAGGTTTGTTTGCAATTTAGTATTAACTAATTTTCTGAATGCTATATATATAAAAAAAATAATGAAGAGAAATCCTTTAATTAGATAATAATCTATTTTTATTAATGTATATATTTCAATACATTACATTGTGTAGATAAAAGTTGTTGATATTTTATAGATAAGTTACAATCTATATTAGTTTGTGACAAATGAAAGAAAAAATATTTGGAACTATTAATTATATTTGATTATAATTTGAAAATAGATATACACTGTATTACATCATATCTAATTTTAGAGAACTATTAATCATATCTAATGTTTTTTTCACTCATATAATCAGTTTTCCACACTGTTTTTAGTCATGCTTGAAGATATTGAGATGATATTTACTTTTTGTTTACACCATGACAAGTTATAGAACAAGTAAGCATTTTGTTCCAGTAAAATGAATTTTTACCCGGTAGGGGATTATGTATTGCCATGCAATACTCTCAGAATGCTTGTAATTAACTCATTTTCATTGAAAATCTTACACGTAATAAAAAAAAAAGGCGAGAGATACCAAAGGGACATTCAAATTCATAAGTCGAAAATGATCTGAAAACGCCATGGCAAATAAAGAAAAAGACCAAAAAGACAAAAAGCAGCACACACAAAATGGCTGTACATTTTTAGGTCAAAACCTATAGACAACTAAGTCTGGCCTCGAGGGCTAGGACTGAAGCAAACTAATAACTTTAGAAGATGTAGGTTCTGCTTCCATGTTGTATACCTGAAAAAAAAAACTTGCCGGGAGTCAGAATCGTTACTGAGGATAAATACCTGTTACGTTGAATTATCGTGACTTAATGAAATACCCGTTACGTTGAAATGTCGTGACTTAATGAAATACCCGTTACGTTGAATTGTCGTGACTTAATGAAATTATAATGGAAAATAACCGAATCAATTCCTGGATTTACCTTCATCAGGAATGCTCAGATTTACCTTCATCAGGAATGCTCAGATTTACCTCATTAGGAATGCTGAGATTTACCTTCATCAGGAATGCTCAGATTTACCTTCATCAGGACTGCTCAGATTTACCTTCATCCGGGCTGCTCAGATTCAAAACTTTGAAAATCAATGATATATACGAGCCTAAACAAAACCAGGTTCAACCCACCATTTTTTTCTTAAAATGTCCTGTACCAAGTCAGGAAAATGGCCATTGTTATATTATAGTTCGTTTCTGTGTGTGTTACATTTTAATGTTGTGTTTCTGTTGTGCCGTAGTTCTCCTCTTATATTTAATGTGTTTCCCTCAGTTTTAGTTTGTAACCCGGATTTGTTTTTTCTCAATCGATTTATGAATTTCGAACAGCGGTATACTACTGTTGCCTTTACTAAATATTCGAGGAGTTGTATGACCAAAAGGAACATAAAAAAATAGCCAAAGTCATCCATGGTCAACTATGACTGAAGGAGTTGGAACCTTTATAGTCAGTTGAACATTACATGCTGATTATTGGAATATAATTGTCATGTTCTTATTCGTGTTTATTTAGCATGCATTTTGTTTTGTTTTTATTTTTATGCCCCACCTACGATTGCATCGACCGACCTTTACAGTTTTTATTGTAAACATTACAATTCAATTCCCTGCATAAACTTAACTTACAATTCCATGTGTTAACTAATTAACTTACAATTCCTTGCAGAATTTAACTTACAATTCCCTATGTTAACTTAAATTACAATTCCCTGTGTAAACTAAACTTACCATTCCCTTTATTAACTTAACTTTCATGCATTGACTCAACTTACCCTTCCCTGTTGAAACTTAACTTACAATTTCCTTTTTTACTTAACTTACAATTCCCTTTGTTTACTAAACAACTTACAATTTTCTTTGTTTACTCTGCATTAACTTAAGTTACAATTCCCTACATTCTTAATTTACATTTCCTGTATTAACTTAACTACATTTTAAGAATATATTTTCATTTTCAGAGTCAAGCTGTGTGTCCAGTTTGCAGAGGGAATATCAAAACACATTAATGAATATTATTTGCTATTATTTATCATTCTTTGGTTGAGTAGACAATGTTGAATTGTTCTAAGTTGTTCTTAGATTTTTTTATTCCACTTTTTTTTGTTACAATGATTATACAATCCGAAACTTTCAATGCGCTCTTTGTGAAGCTTTAGTACTCAAACTTTTTTTCCGAAAGTTGCATATTTTATTTTTAGAAAATGAATTGAAAGTGAAAGTGAAACCAATAATTCATTAGATGTTTACATCTATCATTTTCGTTTAACTGTATTATTTTCAATTGGTTACTTGTCATAATTATTTTATTCTTATGTTATTTTCTAGTGTAATTACACTGATGTCCATGTAGCTATCAAATAAAAGATCCAAAACCATTTTCTTCTGTTTTGTACGTACATGAAATTCGCATGTCATTCGTATTTTTATTTATTATTTCTGTACTCCGATTACATATCAAAGGTAAATTGCTGCTATACATTTCACCAAATGCATATTGTTTAATATGAGCATGATTATTATTAGGAAATGACATTGTCCCCTCCGGGACTCTATCCCGGGTTCTCTGTTACAAGTCAGCACTCTAACCGACAGAGGTAAACAAGTACTTCATTATCTCAACCGGTTATTACTGGCTAAGTATCTACTACTCAAGGGAAGCAGTCCTGCCACACATCCTCCACCGCAAGAGTCATCATACCATTTTGACTCGCACAACACATATTCTGGCTAGAAATCCTTCTTAACACCGTGCGTATTTTAGTTGGGCGCCAAATGTAATACATGTATGTGAACATTATTTTCGCTGGAAAATCACATTGTCTCTGCTGGGAATCTAACCCGGGACCTCGGTTACAAGTCAGCGCTCTAACCGGTTCTTCACTAGCTCAACCTCTTAAGGCTGGCTAAGTATCTAGTAATCAAGGGAAGATATCCCGTAACACATGTAATGGCTCGATACCCTAAAACTGTGCTTGACTTTTTACCTTCGACTTGTTAAAGATACTTTTCGTTAATAATTAAAATTTCACAATCTCATCTTGTGTGTTAATTATGGAACGCCATAGCTGTCTTATGTGTCTTTTTTATTATAATAAGGTGTTTTTTTTATTATACGAAGGTGCTTTTCTATTATACGAAGGTGCTTTTCTATTATACGAAGGTGGTTTTCTATTATACGATGGTGGTTTTCTATTATACGAAGGTGGTTTTCTATTATACGAAGGTGGTTTTCTATTATACGATGGTTGTTTTCTATTATACGTAGGTGGTTTTCTATTATACGATGTTGCTTTTCTATTATACGAAGGTGGTTTTCTATTATACGAAGGTGCTTTTCTATCATGTGGATGAGCTTTTCTATTATGTGGATGAGCTTTTCTATTATGTTGATGAGCTTTTCTATTACGTGGATGTGGTTCCCGTGATTAACCGGAAGTGTGGCGTGTCACATGATTTGAAAACAGGGACGGGTCAATTGCTAATAAAATATGGAAAAATCTTAAATCAAGAAAATCAATTAAGTCTTTAAAAGTTTTTATGGACTATTATATTTGAAATAAAACAATCAATTAATCATAATTGATAAGTGAATTATATCTATTATCAATATATCGGAATTCGTCCACCTGTTGACCCTGCATTGTTTTCGGCGATATATCCGGGTTGCACTAACGACAGGACGATTGCCCGGATTTGGACAGGATATATTGACCGGATGAGATATAAATAGTCAGAACTTTTTTGTTATGTGATAGATTATTTCAATATTTGAAGACCTTGAAGATACATAACTATATTTTATGAAAATCTAACAATAAAGTTGAAATGAACGACAAAAAGTGTCAATATAGCTTTTGTTTAACAACATTTTAAAATAAAACTAAGAAATCTGTTATGCGATATTAATCAATATAATTATTATATATGAAAATGTAAACTTTATAGTAACAAAAAATGTTTTTTGACCAAAAAATATTGACCCAACAGTTTTCAAAATCGCCGAAAAAATGCTTTTAATGTTTTGAACTGATCGACAAAAATTGTTACTATCTCGTTTGTTTAACAGTTAATATTTCATGAAAAAAAAGAATCTGGGAGACATATGAATAAATTATACAAAAAAATTAACTTTATAGTAAAAAATTGTTTCTCTACAAGAAAAGTTGACCTGTGCGAATTATGCGACGAATTATATTGACATGATCGACAGAAAGTGTTCAAAATTTCTAAAATTTCAAAACATCTTTTTTAAATTGAGATACATTTGAAATAAACTTATAAATTGTATGAAACAATAAGTCCTATCCGTTAAAACTTATATCTTTGATCCCAAAATGTTGACCTGATTGAGTTTACCGGCACAATTTAGAAGTACAGATATTTAATTGTAATTGTAATAAGTTTATTGCAAATCAGCATATAAAATAATGCTATAGCATCAACAACATATAAAATATAGTAAGCGACATAATATAAATGAAAACAGAAAGCAAAATAATAACAAAAAAAGACGCAAATTAAACAAATAGTACCATATAATCTTTTAATAAAAAAAAATTGGAATGAAATTTTTATTCTGACACATTAGAAATTCGAAATATTAAAGAAATTTAAGTTAAATACTTTAAACTTTAATTAAAGTGGGTTGTTCGGTGTGAGTCAAGGCTCCGTGTTGAAAACCGTACTTTGACCAATATTAAATGGTTTACTTTTATAATTGTGACTTGTGACTTCGATGGAGATTTGTCCTATTGGTTTTCATACCACATCATCTTATTTGTATAAAAAGGCCCGGAAAATAAGAGATTTTTTTAATTCCATATCATCATGATTAAGGCAGTGGCTATTTTGCCGACTCTGATTAAATATATTTAGTTCGGTAAAATACAGGGAATTTGTTATTTTGCAGGTTCTTTGTAAACAGCTAACAACATTTGAAACACATATAATCGTTTAAAAACTGTTATCAGTCAAATTTACATTATGACAATATTTCCTTTAAGTTTTAAAACTTTTGGAACCAAAAAAAAACCAATGAATATACATAAAGATGACTAGACGGTATGGATTTTCTCGTCGTTTAAGGTCGTACTGCGACCTGTCATTGCCTTAATCCTCGTCATTTCAACTCTGGTGGATATTTACATTTCTCAATGGCAATCATATCATAACTCCCAAATTCTATCATGTATATATGAAATGGTGTCATCCTGGTTTGCCCACTTTTAATTACATGCATATGTAAACATAGGGTGGATTGTTGTTTTAACAATTATAGTTTATTTCTGAATTATAGTCATATTTTTTACCTTTTATTTTACCTGTAAAATTTTATCAAATACCATATTCTGCTATTAAATCAATGAAAATGTTCAAAAGTTTTAATATAGTTTTTATCAGGAAAATGTATTGAATTTGACAATAAATACTAACAAATAGAATAAAAATGCAACTGTTCAGTAGCCAAGCTTTACAAATGAAATAATTTAAAAAAAACCCAACAGATTGTTATTTTACAATAGTGCTCTATTTATTTCCTTATGCAATGCATTTATAAACTTGATTCATATATTAGGTGACGAATATTGGATATTGTAGGGGGGGGGGGAGGATTCATTTTTTTAGGGAAAAACTTCCCAAATCTTTAAATAATATAATGTATAAATATTAATTTACTTGAATTAAATCTCTGAAAATGGGTTTCATTTAACTTAGGTATATTGTCTCAGGAACATTTACTTTATTCTCTTTTGCTTTCCATTTGTAATTTAGTAAAAAAAAAATTAACTTGACTTTTATTTTTTTTAAGGATTTTTTTTCTTAAAAAAAAAAATAGCAACCACATCCATAAAACTATATGTGAACTACATGTTTTTGCTTTATCCTACATATTGGTGTTTTGATGTCCCTAAAAACTAAAAGTCTTACACTGAAACTATATATTTTACCTTGAGACCAAAATATTGTCAAAAAATAATAAAAACAGAACTTGCATTTTTGATCAAGAAAGGTTCTGGGAAATGCGCAGAATGCATGATTTTGCATACATTTTTCTATAGCTTCTTCGGGCCTTCAGTGGCCCCAAAATCCTGCGCACGAAATTTGTTTAGTTATTTTTTAATATACTTTATATTACTTTTAAAACAGGCTAGTGCCATTGTTTTACATGTATGTTAAATTATTGAGAGAAAAAAAATATAATTTATTTATAATTTATCTATACATTTATGAAAATGGAATTACAAAATAAAAAATACCTGAATATATATAGAAAACACTGATAAACTATATACCTAAGTTGGAACAGACTATATAATTGTGTACTCATTAAACCTTTTGTCTTTTTTGTTTTCGTTACTAATAAATAATAGGTGTAATTAAAAGTGGGCAAACCAGGAGTAAACCATATGAAATATAGATTTAATTATAATTACATGTATCCCTTGTAGAATTACCAGCGATCTGTCATACTTGTTGATATTGGGTTTCATTGAACCCAAAGGACGCCACATTTTACACTCTTATAATTGAATTTAGTCTATTATATTTATAATTTTAAGTCTTGAAACAGTAAATTGAGAAGAATAAAAAGAAACAGAATATAATACACTTGGCTTCGTAAACAAGCCAATCTCCATTGTTTTTACTGTTATTTTCTCAAAATGTTTATTTCCAACACTTTTTTCCCCCAAAAAAAAATTCTAACAAAGCATCAAAGAAAAGATCAACAGTCCTTTTATCATTAATGATTATAAACAAAGAAGAATGAGTTACTGGTGAAAAGTTAATCCTTCATGATTGATTAGATCAATTATCAAGGTAATCATACATTACAGAGGGGGCATTACACAAGAAGAGCGCGTGTAATGTTAAAAATGTTAATAACTTTTAAATCTATCTAGATCTTCGAACCAACTTTGACCATAATTTTTTTTATCATAATAAGAAATCTTAATTTATGATCTTGGTGCATATTTAACCTTTCAATCATCTCCTTAGTGCAGTTTTTATGAATTCGTCAAGCTTCAGTGGATTCAATTAACACTAAAATAACTGGACACATTAAACAAAAGTTGGCGCGTGCCACGTAAAATGTTGATAAGTCTTTAATTTCTGAATATATTTACACCAAAATTTAAATATATGCTCTTTATTCAAAACTTTATCGTACTGAATGACCTTGGTGCTTATATGACTGTTCCATCATGGGCTTAGTGCAGTTTCAGGAGCTTAGTGCACCAAGGCGGCCTAGGTGGTGTTTAGACGTACCGGTTTCCAGTTTTCATTTAACAAACAACAAAGTTTTAATAACAAAGTTTGCATTTGCGCCAATTTTGACAAAATCCAATCTTTCATTTGCGCCACAATGTTATAT